GTAATCTGTTGTGCTGAAGGTGCTCTATGTGAATAAGAAAGGGCTAGATTGTGACATTTTTGTTGCTGTTAATGTTGTGCCTTCAAGACAGTCATAAACTATGCTTATTTTTCTTTCCCTCCACACCCCACTTCCCTCAGGTTGGAAGGTTTGAAGTTAACCTCATCAGTCCGGACACCAAATCTGTTGTGCTTGAGAAGAATTTTAAAGATATCTCCTCATGTTCTCAGGTAAGCATTAATAAGAAGAAATATGTAGATCATCAGGAGAAAAGGAATTCATTTGTTTTTCAGCTAGGTTGCCTTTCTGATCTATAGGCAGCAGAAAAAAATAAACATAGAATTTTTTTTCAGCATTCTGTGCTGTTTTCCTTTTATTCAGTCTCAAAAAAACATTTTTAAAACAGTTTATCCTGTCTAAATTACCCTGAATGAAAGTAAATAGCTGATTTACCCCATTGGCTCCTTAATTAAAAAAGAAAAGAGAGGAGAGGGGTTTTGAGCCCTTGTGACTAATGTACATACAAATCCTGCATGAAGTTTGATGCATGAACTTCTTTGGGGAGTACATCTGAAGAAATTGGATATTAAAGTGCAGTTGCTTTATGAACACTTGCAGAAAGACTTGAAGTACTGATTTGCCTTTAGAAGAGTGAGAGCTGTTATTCAAATTGGGTCTTTCACTTGTCTGATAGCAGTTTCAGTTAGATACTGGACAAAAATAATGCAATGTCATTCCCAAGGAGCTGACATACAGAAAAGAAGAGGGCAAAATAACCAGTCTGAGCTGTGGTAGTGGCAACTTTGATCATTGATCAGAAAACAAGGTATAAACTGTTCTGCTTTGGAAGAGCATTGGATATAATTTTGGAAGTAGCTTAATCTCCATTTAGGATGGTCTGAGTGTGTTGTTTCTGAGCAGCTAAGCTCCTGAAAGCCTCTAAAATGAAAGGAGGAGAGCATCAAATCAGCCCTCCAGAAAACCAGCAGTTCACCTGCATCATTTTTTCTGCAGAATATGGCAATAAGTGAACCTAGCTATGTCCAGTAATAAATAAATGTGTCTTATAAAGTTAAATGCCAATGCTGAGGGATTCACCTTTCTATCTTGCTGTTGTTCAGCACCTGTTACTTCAGGCAGTTTCTATTTTGAGGTCTTATTTTGTTACCTTCTTTCATTCGCCATGTACATGCATCACTTCAGACCTCCTTAAACACTATTATTCTAGTTTAAAGTACACTTCCTGGCATGCTCTAAACCTGTATTTCACTCCCAAGTGCTTTTATTTTAATGCTGATAACAAATCTGCTCTTGCATGGCTGTACTACCAGTGCTAATACAAATTAAGAACTGGTCAGTACTTGTAACTCAAGTGAAATCCTGAGCTACCAACTAAAGGTCCAGGCCCTTAAGTCGACTCTGCTGTTTAACTACAATTTGTATTGCTCTTGGTAGAGAAGAAAGGTGCAAATATAGAATGGGACAATATAATCAAACAATGATATATTAATAGCTTTATAATAAATACAGATCAAAGAGATTCTTAAAGCAGTGGTATGGAAAGCAAAATTTGCAGATGGCTTGAGTCTTCTCCTGCTTTTTGGGTGTACTGAGCTGAATGAAAGTGACACTTCAGTTTTATGTACTGGGCTCTTGGGTTGCATGTACACACTGCTAATAGTCAAACAAAACAGTCCTAAGCAAGGACAACCTTTGTTCTGCTGACTTTAAAGTGTGGTGGAGACCAGCAAGACCATGGCAGACATTCGAGGCCTAGCTTTCCTTCAATAAAATAACTGTGTACAGTAAATAGTGTTAGGTAATGCTGTGTGTTAGGCTTTGGAGGTGGAGTTTTTCACTCTCTATCTCTTCACTTTCATTTGGAGTAAAGCTTTTGTTATTTTGCATGCTTGAATAACTCGGAGAGGCACTAACAATACTGTGGAGTTTTTGTTTTGATTTTTTTTAATGCAAAACAGCTACTTTAGAGAAGTTGGGGTTTTTTTCTATGTTCAATAGAAATGAAACATTAATTTGTTCAAGACTAAGAATTTGGTTGCATAAACTTCATCAGTGCTTCTTTTAAGAACTGGGTGCTAGCCACAGGGCTTCTCTGTTAATGGATTTATAGGGCAGTGATTTACTGCGTATTGTGAGGCTGCAGCTTGGGAATGTTTGTTCTTCTAAGCTTTACAAACGATGAAAAAGAGATGTTGTCTTCAGCTTGCATTCTGAATTCTTTTAGTCTGGTCTAATAAAAGGTATTTTTATTCTGTAGCTTAAGTATGGTTGATCTGCTGCATTCAATTCATTATCGGCACTCCATATAGTTGTCAAAGCAGCAAATACAATTGATGATAAACCCCTGTGTGTGTGTAAGCTCAGGTGTCAGGTGGCTGTAGAAGTTTTGTCCTTGCCACCTTGCTGACCTTGAGGGAACCCAGAACAAGAAAAAACTTTGCTATTTTGGCTTGACAGGTCCAGCCACCGTCTTAAATAAATGTGATAGAGGTACTGTTAATTGAGGAACGTACTGTGCTATTTACACTTCAGTGATGCAAGCATCATGTGCATCTCCCCCACAAATGTTCTCCTGTGGAGACTGAGAAATCAGATGGCAGTAGACTTGTTCAGGCACTGTCAGCAGGGAGGGAACTGGCATCTCACTGAACCACCTTAGAGTAAATATGGTTTCCTTGCAAAACACAGGGCAACACTTCACTGTTAGCTAGAACAACATATGTGTATGCATCTGTTCTTTTTCATTTTACACTTCTGAAGACTTCACGTGTCACAAGAAAACAACAATTAAGTCAAGATTAATGTGGACTATGGTAAACTAATGCTATTTGTGCCATTTTAGACACCCTCTGCGCCTTTGTTAATTTTTATTTAAGTAGCACAAATGTAACTTTGGGAACTTTATTTCTAAAAACTACATCGTGTAGTGACAATATGTTCAGTCTGTCATGTACTGCATTACCAATTTTGTCTAGAGTGTTTTCTGTAGCGACAAGCAAGTTGTTTTGCCTCCTCACCTCTTTTATGATATAGGTGTTTTCTTTGGAGATGGATCCAAGCAACCAAGTTGTACTTTCTGTTGTATTTGAACTTGAGGGATTAGGCTTTCTTTTGGAGAAAATCTACTATTACCATCCTCAGATGATAAAAACATTGGCAAAAGCTTTAACAATAGTGAGTCATGTTCCATGAATTGAGACTGGGAATATAGTGGTTCTTAGGAAGCAGCTCTCTTTGATCTTCTCAGCGCTGTTTTTAGCAAGGCAACGTTCCCTGTCAAGCAGTTAGACGAGGATCTTGAAAGAAAGCATCAGTAGTAACATGTAGTAAATCTTGAAACTTCTGGTATGTAACTCAGTCTCAAAGAATTTATTTAAGAATTTAGTTGGAATTCTGCATGTCACCACTCATTCCCTGCTCTTTTTGTAGTCCTAACTTATTGCTACTTCGGTGCTACTCCAGACCCATGTTTTAGTGTGGGTTTGTTACATCAAGTTTTCACTGAAAGGCAATTCCAAATACAACCTAGTACTCTTTACTTCACTTCCCTGAAAATTCAGTTTTCCTAATGGAAGAAATTCAAGTCCAGGTCTATTGCTGTATAACTTTTATTTTGGTTTTATAAAAAGTTTTATGTAACTTATAAATGCAAAAGCAATTTAAAAGATAACTATTGTAGTTGTAAAATGGATCATTAGGAGTACATATTTGTAGTTTCTTGAATTTTTGTATTGGCAAGTGTTGGAGTCTAGTAGCTATTTTTAGGATCACTTTGGAAACTAAACCTGCTTATAAAATGGTCCACTAATGCTGTTCTTAAACTCTCTTAGGGTATAAAACACGTTGATCACTTTGGTTTCATTTGCCGGGAATCTGTTGAACCTGGGTTAAGCCAGTATGTCTGCTATGTGTTCCAGTGTGCAAGTGAGTCTCTGGTGAGTATTTATGAATGATCCTAACCTTTCCGTCACAGAAAGTCTGAGGCATTTCCTAAACCATGGGAGTCTCTGTTATTCTGCTGTGTCAGCTGAGCCTCAGTGGTCATATCTTCTCAGGTGTGAGACTTCAGTTGTGAATATGAAAATATGCGATAGGAAGTGCATACATTCTGTTCATATATAGCCATATACTTCTAGTCTGCATATATCAATAAAAAACAAAAAAAATCCAGATAGATGAGTTCACACATGGCAGACTGTGAGTATATTTGGGCTCTGTATGCGACTAACTCTTGCATTTCTAATTGTTGAGACACTTGGTTCTCCATTAAACATGTAATTACATGTATTGAATCTGTAACAAAGCTGATGATAAAACCCAAACATACTTTTCAGGGTAAGGTTTAAACTACTGGCTGAGTGTGCATGTAGTTTTAGCATTTTCCCTGTAGTCTGTTTTGTTCCTCAGGAGAAGAAAATCTGATGAGAGAAGAAGAAAACCATAATATGTGTGGATGTGTGTAACTATAAAAAAGTCCATTGGACATTTGATAAAGTATGTATCAATCAACTGAAGTTCCGGGTGCCAGTGGTTTAACTGATACAGGTAGCTTAATACTGTGAGACGCATACAAGAAATAATTTTGGCTACTACATTTTTATTTTAAAGCACTGACACTTTAAAAGAAGTTGGTTTCTGTTCTGGAACATGTTTGTTCCTGATGGCCATGCTAACAGCTGCTAAATCCTTTTCAGGTAAACTTAAAAATTGCTGTTCTAGCTAGCTGAAAATGTAATTTGTTAATCCATTGACTAGCTTGAGTGAATAGATTTATGTCAATAAAACTTCAAACAGCTAACAGCCCTAGATGTACAATGGTATCTGAGGCTGCACTTTTATCAAAATGGGAGCTTGTTATGAAATCGGCTCTATCTTTGCACCAACAGAAAATGTTACTTCTGACCTATTGATAAATCAGACCATGCATAATTCAAAGACTTAAAATCTGGTGTATAAAGAAACCTTGTATTTATGAACCTCTTCACATACTCTAGCGCTGATATGTGTGGGTATGCCCACACTGCAATACAAAGCGAACATTCCTGACCTACTTTCAGATGCCATCCTTTGGACCTCAGTGGCAGTTTGACTGTGGCAGGGCAGAGCTGTAAAATTTAATGCTTTCCAGATTCTGTGCTGGTAGGCAGGCTGTGTTGGTAGGATTGTGTGTATTTGCTCTAAACCTAGCTGCATTCTGTAGTACAGTTCTCACGGTTTTAGTGTAGTCATAATCCATATGCTTAGCACAGTTCTGTGGATCCTCCATTTGAGAGGCATTGTTGCCAACTTTAAAAAATTATCAGTCTGTATTGCAAGACAGATACTCACTATTCAATGCCCTGCTTTATCGCTAAGAAGAGGGAGCACCCAGAAATTACTAGTAGTGCTTAAAACTGTGGGTTTTCTGTAAAAAACCAAACAAACAGAACCGAAACAAAACCCTAAACATATCAGAACACAAACTGATTCAAGTTTCCACATTCAGGTGCCTTTTTGGTTTCCCATGCCTGCCCCTGCCCCCCCCTCCATGACAGACTCAAAAAAGTCTGTAAGTTTTCAATGTTAGACTGCATGATTTTGGTCTCAAGTATTTCAACTTTCTTCTTCCTGCTTACAAAAAAAAGCAACAGGTAAGAGCAAGGACCTGATTCTGAAGTAGAATACTTATTTCTTTCCTAAGATTGTGCTCAAGCTGTTGTCTCCTTCTTTCCATGCTAATGCAAAGACTCAAGTAAACAGCTTTTAATAAGCATTGTATTCCCCTAAGATACAGACAGGGGAACTCCAAGTGCTTTGTACATAAGATGTGGGAGCATATTTGAATGAGCATGGAGAAACACTGTCACCTCGACCTTTCTTACACAAAAGTTAAGAAAGATCAGAGCAGACTGCAAGGCAGGCTGGCAGTGCTTCAAGATAAGTTGGTGATTGTAATGAAGCTGGTAGCCAGTCTAGTAGCCTGGAGAAAAGCGAACTGCTGTGGGAAGGTCCTATCTGCCAGCAGGACGGGCCTGTGGGGTTTTGTGCTAAAACGGTACAGTGGTGGGAGGAAAATTGTTAGGAGGGAGCATGTCCAGTTTAGAGGAGAAACTTGAAGCTAAAGAAAAAGAAATTAATGCTTTTTATTTAGCCAGGATATATTCAAGCCAAAAATTCCCACTTGGCAGCTTCTTAAAACAGCAGCTACCTGCCCGGTAAGCTTGAGCAGCTGCAGTTAGATACTCAATGTCTGGCTGAACTTCAAGATGGTGAGCATCCACAGAAAAGGTAGAAAGCTGTGGATACAATCTTGATCTCTTTAGAAGACAGCAAATGGGACTTTTTTTGATTGTAAAGCACCTGTCTATGATGTGATTTATGAATGTAATTTGATGTATATGCCATGCATATTTGTTTATATACTGCCTTTTTCCCTCCTTCCCTTACAGGTTGATGAGGTAATGCTAACCCTGAAACAAGCCTTTAGCACTGCCGCAGCTCTGCAAAATGCCAAGACGCAGATTAAACTATGTGAGGCCTGCCCTATGCATTCATTGCATAAACTTTGTGAAAGAATTGAAGGTAGCAGCTGACTTTATTTTCTAATGATGTTTTTCTGATTATTCCTGAAGAATTTTAATTATGTTAACCATGTGCTTTCAACTTCAGCAATGTAAGAACAGAGGGAGAAGTATCCCAATAAGCAATTCTCACCATGATTTTACATTCTCTGTAGTCAAGTGGAGGTGATAGCAGTAATGATATTGGAACTGAGTATAGTATAGCTTCTGTTTATAAATACATACTCTTTCATCATCATACCTTTCTTAAATGTTAAGCAGAGCAGAGAAACCCACCAGTTCACCTTTTTTTTTTTTTTCCTGAAGATGCATGCTTCCAAAATGGGTCATAAAAAGACAGTTACGATCAAAAAAGGGTCTTGCTTTCTTGTGTGTTTGTTCTTTCCTCTGTGGGAAAAGAAAAAATTTTTCCTTCTTTGTGTTTATTCTCTTACACACTTCAAAACCTAGTTCTATTTTGGGGAAATAAGTGATTACGTTAGGTGATTAGTATCTAATAAAGTTAAGGTGACTGCCTGGCTTCAAATATGAATAGACAAACCTTTATAGTTTCTCTGCAAGTGAGGTGGTATGCTAGAACACATGCAAAAATCTTACAAGAAAAAATTTTAAAAAAAAAGTTAATATCAGGATCCTATTTTTATAGTCACTCCACTACATCTCCTTGCGAAGTGTTATATGCAAAAAAATCAAGTATGCAACAGTAGTCTTGTACCTTCTGGTCTGGTGGTGATGGTGCTGGTAATTGCCAGTTCTCCCATTCATTGAAAGTCACTGTTGCTACTTATCTCCCTCTGGTGGATGAAAAGCAAAGTATAAAGTCTTAGTGGAGTGAAATTCTGTTAGGTTGTGACTGGTATTTTCTGGGTTTAACAACAGATACTCAGAAGTGATAAAGCTTAACTGGGAAAGTCTTCTGTAAATGAAAAATTATAGAGGCTCCTGTATAAGGCAGTGTAAGTATTTTGAACACAGGTATTTGCAAGCCTGGGATAAGTATCAAGTATCAAAATAAAGTATCTTCTAGGGCAACAACTTGAGTACCATAATAGTAGTTTCATAAACTTTGTACTTAGTGACTGAAAGACTTATCTTAGTGTCCCTTTGGTTTTTTCTGTCTGCTTTGTTTAAAGTCTAGAAGTTTATCATAATCAAACCTAGAGCTTCATGACTTTGGAAAAATCTTTATCTGTTCTGATTGCAATTTTCTATGAATGATATCTACCTTGGATGGAAAAACTGTGTGTCTTTATCTGATTTGAGGGGTTTGTTTTCCCCCATGGTTTTTGTAGGTTCCTAGACAAGCTCTGTGAGCAAATGTGCACTTTATTGGACATCAGAAATTTTTTCCTTTATTGTTAGAGCTTCTATGCTGTTCTTGCTTTTAAAGTGTCTTCAGTTCTCTGGTATGACCTGTACTCTATTCTTTCCTTGTGTAGAATTGCATCTAAATTTTTCAATTAAAAGCTTCTGAAAACTTATGAGTATCCTGTACATTGAGTATCTCTCCAGTTACATCCCTCATGTGTTCCTCTCTTCCTTGTCTCCCATACAGTTGTTAGGCTTCCAGCTGTCAGTGATCTCTTGGTACTAGGGCAGAAGACATCAGTGGGGTAGGGAGCACAACCTCTTACACAGGAGCCAATTACTTAGATGTTGCTAGTTCTATTTTTACTGCTAAAAAAGGAGACAAAACCATGTGGTTTAGCAAAGCCTGAAGTATTTTGTATCACATATACTGCAGATATACAGCTGTCCTACGTTAAACTTGTATAAACTCGAATGCAGGCTTATATTTTCTACTGTCATTGTTTTCAAAAGCTTTTTGAGAGGTCATTTGAGAGTCTAGAAACTTTAATGGTCCTTTCTTTTCTCAGGACTCTATCCACCAAGAGCCAAACTGGTAATTCAGAGACATTTGTCGTCACTAACTGATAATGAGCAAGCAGACATTTTTGAACGTGTTCAGGTAATACATTAGAAGCTGTTATTTCAATTTTGAAAAAGACCATCATAAAATGGACTAGATGTTTTTGCTTTTTGATTATGTGTGGTTTGTTATGTAGTTGATCTGGAATTTACTATTTTTCCACCAAACGTCATAACGAAATAGCATGCTCCAACCTACCCTCATATGTGATACACTGCTATCAGAAAAGTTTTGATTCCCAAGTCCTCTGTGTTCATACCTAGAATATTTTTTTTCTGAGCTTAGTTCTTCATCTGTAGACACATTTCCCTGCTTGAAAGTGGTGTGGGAGTGAGCTGAAAGCAGGTGAGACATACAGGTATCAGGAACGCATCTAACGTTTTAAAAAGTTGTCTTTTGTGACTTATTCTGAGGCAAGATTTTGGTGTAAGCAAGTGTACTCAACTGGATGAAGTATACAATAATTTAGGCTTCCAAAGGCTACACTCCTCTCCAGCTGCCTGAAGAAGGGAGTGACTGTTTGGTTTTCTTGAGTTCCTTATTCCATTTATAAGGCTATACAGTGACAGACAACCTTAGAAAACAAAATATGTGGGCGTAAGGCTCCCCCTCTCCACAGCCTGTAACATTTTCCATATGGAAAGTTTTGGTCTATTTTGCTGAGGAGTATGAAGGCACATGAAGAGTAGTGCAATTTGACATACTAATACTGCGCTCTGGCATCTGGCGTACCAGTAAATTAATTTCAAAGAATACGTAAGTATGGAAGGGAAAATAAGCAAATCATGACTTGAAAGACAACTTTTTTTCTTTTCTTTGCTCTTACTGACAGAAAATGAAGCCTGATAATGACCAGGAAGAAAATGAACTTGTGATCTTACATCTACGCCAACTCTGTGAAACTAAGCAGAAAACGCACATTCACATTGGTGAAGCACCATCGGTAAAACTTATTTTTTGTGTTATTCCTCTCCCTCCTCCCACCCTATTAAAATGCAACCTCGAATACTAGCAGGGCCACTGCTAGAGTTCATCAGGGACAGCTGAAGCTGGGTATTGTAATTAAGAGAGGATTGTGAAAGAAGAGTAATTTGATTTGATTTATAGTGGCATGCTTGGTTTTTTTTTAAGTTTGGGGGGCACAAAGGAAGGGAAGACAGACAACCGATTATTTTTAGGTCTAGATTTCCTTACAGTGTGAGGATACCTCTTCTGTCTTTTTCCTTCCTTTCTGATCCTCACTTCCAAACAGTTATTTCTAGGGAGAACAGGGATGAAGAGGGCGCTGGTTTCAGTTTAAATTACAAACTTACCTAGCAAAGGAAATGGGTAACAGTATTGTTAAATTGATATGCTTTTACAAGATAGTCTTTAGGGATGGAATGTACCTTTAACTGTGGTTTTCTGTGAGTTTTGGGGTTTTTTTTCGGGTGTGGGGATTTTTGTTTTGTGGGGTTTTTTGTTTTGTTTTGTTTGTGGGGTTTTTTTTAACAAAGGCCAAAGGTATGTTGTTTATTATGTAACTTGTTTCAGCTCTAGTCTTTGGAGGTCTGAAATTGCAAAAAGAATTGCCAAAGCTGAATTTTGTCCTTGCTCATTTCAACAGACCATTTCTAACAGTGCGATTCCAGAAAGCACCACCAGTGGTGGCAGGTTTAAACTTGACATTCTGAAAAACAAGGCCAAGAAATCCTTGACTAGCTCTCTGGAAAATATCTTCTCAAGGGTAAGATTAACAACTCATTGTCAGCAGCTCTCCCAGATACCCTTGACAGTAAAGACCTGTCAGATTTTTTTTGGTTTATTGGCCTCAGTCTGATAAATACTTAATGAGGCAATATCCCTGTTGTGAAATCTGAGGGTTACTGCTGGTTTGATTGTGACTTAACTGTGCTAGAAGGTTTATGGTAAGGCCACACATACGGAGGGGAAAAAAAGGCAACTTTCTGAATAATGAAGAGTCATTGTAGGTGGCAACTGAGTTAGCTGAGCATTATCAGATGTGTTGCTTCAGAATAAAAAAAACTAATCAGGGTGGATGTGTAATCCCATAAAGAGACATGTCTTTTTTTTTTTTTTTGTGAAAGGGTGAATAAATGTGCCTGCTTAAACTGGAAATCTTTCTGTTCTGAGAAGTAACGCCTTGCCTCTCATAGTTAAAATTGCTTACATTGGTCACTAAGAATCTTTAGAAAGTAGTAACAAAGTTGTCCTTTTACAGGAAAAAAAACAAAGGCAATAGACTTAAAAATGAGTTGTTCTTCATTTCAGTGTTGCTAGCCAGATATGATGTGGAATTGCAGATAATTACTGGAACTGTCTTATTTAAAATAGCCTTTTAAAGAAGTCTGAATTGAAAGTTTTGCTTAGTGCCCCCTGCTTAGTAGGGAGAGCCCTGAAAGCAGAGAAGAGACATACAGAGGAGTAACTGAAGAAGGCGCGGTGCCTGCGATCCAGTACGTCTTTACACAGAAAATGTGATGAGCTGTGAATACTGGATGACGAGGTCTAAATATAATTTGGAGCAGTGAAATTAAGTTCCTTCTGCTAGTAATTTTAAAGGTACCATGCTAAATCAAGGCCTAAGTTGCACTTGTCCTGCAGGTTATATGGGCATGTCGTAACGTAACCTGTAAATGTAGGATGCCACAGATGTTCCCTGTAAAGGAAGTAAAATACTGTTTGCCAGGGAGAATCTTTAGAACTTAGTTAGGCGTTAATTTGATCTAGGACTTAAGCTAGCATTAAAACTCTCCTGGTCAAATCTGACCTCTCTTGTGTAGCAAGTTTTATGCACTAGGAGCTTGGTCTGAATACAAGGTGGGGAGGGGGGAATGTTGGAGAGAAGGAGAGCGCACATGCAAAAGAGTGATGACAGTCAGAAGATCTGGATAATTACAGCAGTCTGGAATATCAACAAATGGTGACAGCTACAGTCATGCCTATGCTGAGTCTGATTTCTTTTCCACATCTAAAGGACATGTGACTGGAAAGTGATCTAGCTCTGATGGTGGGTCACTAACCCTGTGGTGGTTGTGGAGCAGGCATACAATACTGGGAATAAAGTAAAGCAACCCTGACATATACAGACATACTAGCACTCTGATCATATAAAGGAAAAATCATGTAGATGAACTTCACTGCTTAAGTTGAAGAGTCTCTGAAATTGCTTATATATTGTTGGTTTTGATACAGTATGTTCCTTCTCACCAGGGCCACTGTGACATGCTGCATGTTGTAGTATAAGGATCTACACAGTCCATGATTGAGTTCAAGAGAAGTGGATGCCCAAATCTGGATTAGGGCTATTTTAGGTTTGCTATTTATGAAGTGGACTTGCCATTGTGAGGAAGGTTGTCCCGTCTTTAACTTGAAACTACAATAAATCAGCAACAGCAGTATGTTGTAGTGAATCATGATACACATAGGGATTCATCCTTGCATACCCATTTAAAGGTTACACAATGCAAAACCAATAAAAATAATTTACAGTGCAGCTCAACCACTAGCTACTTGGTTAAAGCAGATGTATGCGATGAGTATCTCTGTGCATGTATACTGTGTGTTATGTGCGTACATGTGTTATACAACAACTGTTTCGATAGTTCTTATTCTTCATCAGGCTGCTAGAACAAGTCTAATGGATTGTGGCTAATTCCTAAAGGTATTTAGGCACCAAATAACTATTGGTGTGGTGAGTTTTCCCTTTCTTAAGCCAGCTACAAATCACATGATATTGATGTGATGGGAGGCTAATTATGTATGACTTTATCTTATATCATCTTTATATCATCTTTATTTTAAAGTACATTTAGAACAAAAAGACCAGGAACGAACTTCAGTTTTGGTGGTTTTGGTTTGTGTTTTTGTTTTGTTTTTTTTTAAAGTTGGCATTCAGCATCTTTTTGTAGATAAGAAGATTTAAGTGAAAAGTAAGTCGGTATATGTGGGGGAGAGACTTATGCAGCCTCAGTCTTAACAAAATTAGAAATAAGTGTGTAGTAACCAGATATCTAGGAACACTTTAAGTGGATGGCTTCTTAGCTAGATAAATAGCATCAAGTGGCATTTTAAGCTACTTGAAGGAATATCTGCTCACTACTCACCATAGGGAAACATGCTGGGTTCTGTGCTCTGGCTTCACTTAGTCCCAGAGGAATGTCACTTTTGCACTTGTTTGTTTTGCTGGACTGATCTTATTTTTGTCAGGTTTGAACTGAAAACAGGCTGTGGCTTCCTAATGAGGTACCTCAGAAAAATAAATATCACCTCTGTTTGACCTCAGGAACAGATTTCTTCCAGCCCATGCTGCACTAACCTCTTCTGTTGTTTTTTCGGAACCAAAAAGCCCTTCTTACAGAGCCAAAAGTGTGTGTTTTTTGAAGCTAGTGAGAAACTTCCAAGTTATCCTTTGCTGTTGTTTTATTGTGAGGGTCAGTGAAGAGATGCTTCAGGCAGAGTATTCATTGGTAATGAGCTTAAATGGGATAACGTACTTAAAGGGCAGTCTGTAAGTCTTGAAAATAAACCTGACCAGCAAGAAGTAGGCTAAATAAATACTGCTGATGTTGACAAAACTTCCCCTGGAGTTGCAAGCATACCAAGAGGAGCTCTATGTACAGTTTTACTAAAACCTAGACTATTTTTTCCCTGATAAAGTACTGAAAGCAACTTACGTCAGCAGTTGGAAGTGTCCAACAGCATACATCACCAGTATTTCATGGGAGTTAAAGTTAGGAGTGGAAGGTGGTCAAAAGTATTCCTGTGAGATCAGATGACTTAACAAGTTCGGCAAAGGTCCGCTAATGCTAATTTATAGCAAATTTGCCCCAGGGTCATCTGCATTATAATTTAAGAGTCTTGTTTGTATCTGGGGCTATTTGGCTCAATTTGCAGCCAATGAGCATTTTTTCCAAGTTTCAGTGCTTTCGCTACTTTTGCCCAGGTGGACTTAATTTGTCTGAAATGTCTAGATATGGAGTAAACTCTGTTGGGACTGTGGTCTGTCAAATGCATCTGTTAGCTGCAGTGCATGCACAGTACTGAAGTCTGTAGCTTTTTTGAACTCGGCTGTTTAAGCCAACTCAGCTATTTTGCCTCAAATGGATCAGGAAATACTCAGTTGCTTCACACAACAGAGCTGCAGGTTTAGAACTCCTGGGAGCAAGGGGGGAGAAGATAACAGTTTTGCCAGCTAAAGTTGTCACTGCTTGTAAAATCCAGGGCTTGCTCCATGATCTGTGGTCTTATGTCAAATGTGTCACGTGCCTGAACTGTTCTGTATTCACCTACACAGCTGTTGCCATCTTTGCTTAACCTTCAGAAAAAGAGGAAAAACTGGATTAAATTACTCACCTTTTTTTCTTGCAGGGCGCCAACAGAATGCGAGGCCGTCTGGGAAGCGTGGACAGTTTTGAGCGCTGCAACAGCCTTGCTTCTGACAAAGTATGTAAGGAGCTTAGTTAAAATTGGCACATTTTCATGCACGACTGTTAATGAAGTGTAAATATGACACTCTGCTTCGATTTGAAGGAAGTAACACAAGGCACATCAATTTACAGAACTCAAATAAGTTAAACAAGTTTCCACTGGGAGGCGGAGGGTATATATGGCATATATGTTGATTTGAAGCTTCGGCTTTAATCTATTGTTTGACTGCTAGTCTTTTTTTCTTTTTTACACTTCCGTTGCTTTTACAAAAAGCAGGGAATTTCTGGTCAGCTTCTGCCTCGTTTCACTGAAGTAATTAAGAAAGGTCCTATCTCCACAAAACGAAGTGTTCTGAAGGTGAAGAATCCTTTCTGAAAGTAATAGTTGCTTTAGGGAAGTAAGAATTTTTGACCTAAAACCAGCTGTTGGGGATGCTGTGTGGCGGCAAGTGGGTGGAATTCTGTTCACTTTCTTTTTATTTCCTGTTTTTAATGTTTTCTCACATGAGGATTGGTTGCTGGTTTCCCATCATGAGGTGAAGATTCTGTTATGGTTTTCCTGCTACAGTTACTCATAAACTGGCTGTGTAATAACAGTCTCTCTTCCAGGATATCGCTGTGACGGTACAGGAAGTATACTCGCGATATGTTGAGGAAACAAGCTAAAAGCAGTTTCCCTAGTCTTTTCAATTCCTGTGTTTTCCTGAAAGAGCCAGAAGTCTGGTAGCTGGAATGCCTATCCCTGTGAGAGGATGCCCAGAGTAATTAGTATGTCGGTTGCATTGCATATACATTTTTATTCCTCGTTTCTCTTTCTTTTTTTTGAAGAAGGACGCTGCTGGTTTGGAGTAAATTATCAAAGGATGTCTGGTTTTGGTGATAATTAGCATACAATAGGCCACGACCAAGAAGGGGGAGAGGCTTTGGTTCCCCGATGCAGCGCGCGGCCCGTGGGGTGAGGCGAGAGCTCTCGTAGGGCGCAGAGAGCGGCAGGCCTCACTCCGCCAGCACTTCCTTTCAGGACGCTTCGCCAGGCGATTCCCCACCAGCTACTCCTCCGGCGTCCCCCGTGTCCGCGACCTGGCAGCCGTTTCCCGAGGAAGACTCGGACTCCCCCCAGTTCAGGAGGCGTGCGCACACCTTCAGCCACCCCCCGTCCAGTGCCAGGCGGAGGATAACGTTCCAGAACGGGAGGTCCCAGAGCGTCAGGTCCCCGCTGCTGCGGCAGAGCTGTGTGGAGACGACGAGGTGAGTCAGGGCATGCTGCGCCACGCGCCTGCTGTCTGCTGAGATTTCAGTATGCCAGCCTCACCCGTGTTCCTTCTCAAGGAAGCTGTTTTTGCACTGCTCCAGGCTTTATTTATTTTTTTATTGTTTGTTTATTTTCAGCCTGTCTGCTCTGCTTCTGAGTAGTTTGGTGCTTTGCAGTAACTCACTAACCCCTGAATCACTGATTTGGAGGAAGCATCAATCCAGTGATTTGATCATCAGGCTGGATGCCGGCGCCGATCTATTTATTTATTTATTTGTCACCTCTGAACTGAGCTTTTTTGGCAGTGTTGGTAGTCAAGCCCTTTTGGAGAAGAGGTCCTCACCGCTTTTAACTGCAGAGGTGGTAGCCTGACGATTTTGTGCCAGGATGAAAAAGGCACTGACAGTTTCAAGTGCATGTTGCTCTGCTAGCCAAAGCTCCCAGAGAGCATGTCCAGAATTAAAATTGTTGAGGAGTCTCAAAAAAGGACTTAAGAATTGAACACCTCCACTGAACTGAGGCATGCGACTTCCCTGTTTGCCTTTCTCCAGAGCTTCCCTGTGTAACTTCTTTCACCTTCCTTTTTGGAGACTCTTCAGCTATTAATATGTGGAACACTGTTCCTTCAGGAGTTCCTTTACTCAGTCAGAAGAGGTCCCCACAGTTCATTGTGGGCCTCTCTGATTGTACTTTCTTTCTCTGCCTCAATCCTGGCTATCTGCAGTAACTGACTGGGCAAACTCCAAAACTTTTACAAGATTCAGGCCCAGATGAGCTGAATTTTTTCTTTTGGAGGAACACTTTCTCCAAACTATTCATCTGTTTCAATACTTGACTGCAATTACACTTTTTGTGCGCTCTTTCTAAAAACAGCTTTAAATAATAATTTCTCACCCATTTGATGTCTAAATTAAAATATCAGTGTGAATGCCACACCAGCTTGTAGAGAAAGGCAAAAAATGTTTATTCTGTTTAAGAGAATGAAAGGGGGTGAAGGGTGAGAAACTAGCCTTAAGTAGCTTTGTTACATTGTGTTTCTGAAGAGATAAATAATGTGGTTTTTACTGAGATAAACTTTGGAGTTTTGTTTTGTTGGGTTTTTTGGTGTTGTGTTTTTTATTTTTCCCCCACTGACCATGTTGTATGCAAACAGGAAACCCTGACAGTTCAAACTGAAGGACTTGCTGACTTCACTTCTTTGTAATAACTTTTAAGAAGTTGCTGATTAAATGGCATCATCAGCAGATTTCCAGTCAAAACAGTTTGTAACAACTTGGTTCTAGGCTGAGATTTTCCCTCCTCTCCTTTCCTATTGAGGATTAATCAAAATCTTAAGTAAAAGAAACTGAATTAATTTTATGTCCCCCCATCACTTGTTACTATTATTAAGTAATCTTGAACTGTGTAGTAGGACTATCTTTCTTGATTTAAACACTTCACAAAAATTTATCCAAAAATACTGCATTTAAATAATATCTACTTTCTAATGTGTTCTAGCAATACACGTCACTTACAAAAGCAAGAGAAGACTGGAGGGAAGAAACAAGGCGATTCATGTTATTGGAAGCAGGTTTCTAGGCATATTTTCTGAATGTTTCAGAGATTCTTTTTCTGAATTTGCTTTGAGAATAAACAAGGCTAAAGAACTAAGGTGGTCTTCCTGTTCTGCAGTGTCATTGAAATGTTTCTTAAAAGAAATCAGCTATAACAGCAAAATCAGTATCATCAGGGAAACTGCCCAGTAGTGCACTTGGTACATTTTTTTACTTCTTGGAAATAAAGTTACTGTAAGCCAAGATGAGGTACTTGGCCAGTATCTTTAATCTGGATGTTTTGTTGTTGTATCCGAATCCATGCTGACCCATCTGCTATGTTCTCTTGTTGCCTGCACAGCCCTATTGTCGGGGTTCAGCGCGCTCTCAGTGAGAGTGAATCTGCATCACCTGGTCTCCCCTCCTCTGTCTCTGCCCCTTCTTTCCTGAAAAGTTTTTACCAGGGCTCAGGAAGGTTGCTCCAGCACTCAGAAAGTGACCTCTCCAAGAGGTGAGAGCATTGTCTCCTGCCTAGTTCTTCAGTGCCACCAGCTTAACAAGATTCCCAGTGCAATGCAGCACATGGGATCTCTCCCACTCTGTCTTGTGCTCCTGCATTTCTACAAGACTTCCTAAGTACTTGATGCAAATGGGCGAACAGGCTTTTGGCCAAAAAAGCCTGTTAAAAATAGAGGCTTGTGTGCTAACATCTAGTAACTGTGACCTATTTCTGTTGCAGTGTTGCAGATCTGCTGCATTGGTTTGTCACTTGAAATGCAGTGTTTTTTAGGAGTGTCACGCCAATTTAATGCTTTCTTTGCTGAATGCAAACCAGCATGTGGTGTTGTGATCATCGGCATGTGAAAATAAGAAAAGAGCAATGTGAAGATTGTACAATACTAACGTGGGATGCCTGTGCATGAGCCAAGGGGAAACAACGAGTTAGCTAGGTGATACTAGCTGTGAGATGTTTAGAGAGAATTGGCAAATAACTTCCAATTGAAGAGGAGTGGGGAAGAAGCAAAGAAAGAAGGGCTTTCTGACATCAGTGTGAAAGACTGAGTATCTGAATGGAAGTCACACTTCTTTTTACTGTATGAATAGGCGCTCCTTCAGGAGGGTGCTTGAAGAAACCACGTATGGGTTGTTTTTCTGAAGTAGGGCTGTAGTGAATAAAGTGGAGCCATAGTTTTTAACTTCATGATGTTTTTTTGCCGGTTGCTGGCCTTTTTATTTCTCTTCTGTCACTGACAACTTATTTTTCTTTCATCAGTCTGTCCATGTTCACTGAAGTATACTTTTGTTCCTGGTACTTATCATCTCTGAGTCTGGCTCTCCCCTCATCATTGCCAACAGAAAACTGTGGAGTTGTAGAATCATAGAATAGTTATGGTTGGAAGAGACCTCAAAGATCATCAAGTCCAACCTTCTACCCAATGCCACCACGCCCACTAAACCCACTAAACCATGTCTCGAAGTGCCACATCTAAATGTTTTTTTGAACACCTCTAGGGATGGTGAGTCCACCACCTCCCTGGGGAGCCTGTTCCAGTGCTTAAGGACTCTTACAGTGAAGAAATTCTTCCTAATATCCAACCTGAACCTCCCCTGGCGCAACTTGAGGCCATTTCCTCTTGTCCTATCGCTTGTTACTTGGGACAAGAGACCAACCCCCACCTCGCTACAACCTCCTTTCAGGTAGTTATAGAGGACAATAAGGTCTCCCCTCAGCCTCCTTTTCTTCAGGCTAAACAACCCCAGCTCCCTCAGCCGCTCCTCATGAGACTTGTGCTCCAGGCCCTTCACCAGCTTTTGTAACTGTTTCTCCCTGGAAAATTACCAGTAGGTTGCGTTCTTACCAAAAACAAGTGTTGATGAGATCTGGATTCTGGGTGTGTTAGGACTCTAATACATGGGGATTTCAATTGTGTGAGATGGGTGTAGAAGTTCTTAGGGGTGCCTAAAGAAATTTTTTCACCTTGTGGTGTGCAGTTTCATTGAACACAGATTAGTTTGTTGGGTTGACTGCAAGAAATTATGTAAATATACAAACTAATGTGAGAGGTATTGACCTAAAGGTGGTTTTAAGGTACAATTTGAGTTAGTCATCTCTAATAATATGTAAGTTAGAATAAATACAAAGTACATATCATCTCCTTAAGCACACTGTATCCTACCTTGATTTCACTGACATTTAAAGTGTCTGTTTCTGGCTTCTAATCTGTAATTGGTGTACAGCATGCAGCCAAAAACTTTAATGTAGACACAATTACAAAACACCTGGTGGAAAATTTCTTCAGTTTAGGTCCTTTCAGCAGAATACACTTGTGTATAAGTGGAAGGTGACAGCATAACCTTAGTGGCAGGATCCCTGCCAATTCTCCCCCCCCCCAACCCCCTGCCCAATCCCACAGCTTTTAAGAAGTAAATGGTAAATTGTCTAGATTCACTTTCTAATAGAGGGATAATGTAAACTAATAATGACTTAATTTTCAGAGATCTTTCCAAAACCAGTCATAGAAATATTTCACAGTTTTGAAAAGGGAGTCACTTTAAGGTGACCCCACATTTTTACCCAAGCACAAATGATTAAGGAATAAGCAGTGTATGTTTTTGAAATTTGAGAGGAGAGATTGACATCTCGTCCAGTGTAGAAGTAGGCTTTTAATATCATCTGTTCTAAAGCTTGTGTCCATTAATATATAGTTACATACAATATATAGTTATATGTATATATAAAAAATAATATACAGTTACAATATAAGTGAATTGGATGCCTAGATTTTCTGTTCCGTACTACACTGCAGTAACACTCGACTAAGTAGCAGGTGAATTATTAAAGTTGAAATTAAAGTTGAAATTAAAGAAATTGATGAATGCACATCAGGATGTGCAGAGAAATGACAAAAAAAACCCCAAAACAACCCCGTCTCTTACAGACTAGTTTTTTGGGTTCAGACTATATTATTTGGGTATACTGTAGTACAGACTGTATTATATGGGTTCCAGTCCAACTTTATTTCCGGGGTCCCTTCAGTTAGCAGACTTGGTCCAAGCTGAACCAACGCCCGAGTCGGTTTGTGCAGGCAGCTGGATCCCATTAAACTTAACTTTCTGGATTTGGGGAATGTAGGCATTGAGTATTGTACTAAAACTGTACTGTAATGCCAGCTAACTCCAAGTTGAAATTTCTGAGATACTACTCTTTCTGGAATTGGTTATGCAGATAGTCAAGATACTGTGTTTCATTATAATGAGGTTTTGAACTGTAAGCTGGGGAGATCTTCATATTAGGAGTAATTCCCTGAGGACCACCCTGTTTCTACTTAGGCTTTATAGTATAAACGTTTCTGATACCATTTAATCTTGAATTTATGTGAAAACTCTTGTGAAAATGGGATCTCATTAGCCATAGATCTTGCTGGGAGCAATTGGGCCTGAACTGTCATGGTAAGGAAATTGCAGTAGCAGGGGTGAAGTGCTGGGACCTAGGTGGGTTTATAAAGTGAATACAACAAATATAGTCAGAAAGAAGTGGCGAATGAATAATGCTGATGTGGTAAGAGTGACCGAGGTAATCCAGCTGTCACTTGAACTGGCTAATGGAGAATGAAATATGTTGTCCAACCGATGGTGGCTGAAAGTCTTCAAACTTTCCCCAGTTTAACTTGCAAATGTGTGTTGTGCCATCGGGTTTATGAATGAGAAAAAGTTAAAATTTTTTGCAGTGTGGTTTTTCTTGCGGATTTGGTTTGGGGTTTTGGGGGTTTTTTCTTTGGCTATTTTTCACAGTGAGGACCATGTTCTATCCCAGTAGGCTCAATGTGAGGTGTTCTTAGCATTCTCGTGAGAGCGTATGTTAGGTTGGAATTGAGCATGGTGCAGCAGTCCTTTACAATCTGAAGACTATAAGCTGTTTAACTGTTAGGAACCCTAATTAAAACTTCAGTGCTTTTTCCTCTCTAAGAATAATCATGGTTACTACACATTCATGACGTGTGTCCTAGCCATGTTGTACTGAAGAAAAATTCTTTGTAGTGTGACTTCCTGTATCACGTAGGTTTGAGATCACGTGCTGCAGCAGGCAGCTTTTCTTCGTGTTCTGCTGAACTTCAATGTGCAGGAGCAGAGCCAGTTTCAGTCGGAATTCATTTTAGAAAGATGTTTGATTTGTAGCTGTCAGATGGGCCTATGCAAATAACACCAAGCCAGGGTCAGCTGGGGAGCTGGGTGTTAAAAAGCGACTCTGCTTATTATATATGTGTCATTTGTATATTGGCCGCTGTATAGAAGATGACTCAGATCCATGTTTATGTTACATTTGGCATACGTTTCCAAACTCAGAAACTGATACTACGGTGTTGGTACAGTGGCTCTCACCTGATTGTAGGCACCTTCATCTTGTCTAATCAATGGACAGAAGTTAGTGTTTCTGCAGCACAGTTGCTCTCATCCTAATGTGATTGTCTTTTAATATTCTGACATTTACAGAACTGATCCTGCCTATTTATCTACCTACTTGAACACTAGTACAGCCAGTTGTGCCTGTCACTGGGAACATCTTCATTTAGAAAACATGAATCATGCCCTACAAGTTTATTGACCTCCATTAAAAAGGAAGCCTCAGTTGACTTGCTAGGATTTAAATGGCTGTGTTGGAGATACCTGAAGCCTGGAGGAAAAAAAATTATTCTAGGTTCATTGTGGTGAAAGACCTATCTTTTTTTCCTAATATTTGTGGGGAGGCTGAGCTTTTTGGGTTAAATTCTAATAATCACTACTGTGATGCTTTATGTGGAAGCTGTGTTGAAGATACCTGAAGCCTGGAGGAAGAAAATTATTCTAGGTTCATTGTGGTGAAAGACCTCTCTTTTTTTCCTAATATTTGTGGGGAGGCTGAGCTTTTTGGGTTAAATTCTAATAATCACTACTGTGATGCTTTATGTGGAAGACAGGAAACACCAATGTATTTTCTACTTTAAGGAATGAGCAGTGTAATAAAGTTGGGCATCAACACAATATTAATAGGTACCTTCAGAATGTTTTTACCGCATTGTGGAGTCATTTGTCTATAGAGAAGTCTAGAGTGGAAATGGTCCACATAATCTTGACTTCTGACAAGTGTGTTGTGCAGCGTTTAATATTGAACACAAGCATATATAAGGATTCAAAAAAAAAATAATCCTGCCAACATAGAGGTAAACAAACAGGAATTTGTTTTTAAACTTTAATTTCTGTAACTTCTGGAATTTCTGGCTTTTATTCAACAGCTACTCCTGAAAGCTAGGCTACTAGAAGAATCTGTTTGGGTTTTTAATATAAAAATAAAGGCAGCGGTTTTAAAAATGGGACAGCCTTCAGCATAGGTTTGACTAGCCCACAGTGTCTCTGTTCATTGCACTGTTATGCAAGGATAATTTAAGCTGATTTACCACCACTTGAATTTGAATGGATTGCTTTTTTTAAAAAGAGCTTCATTTCTCATGAAGAAAGTAATTATTCAGATTTATATGAAAGTAATTATTCAGAATACATGACAGGAGTGAGGACCAGTAGAGAGGTGTGAACTGATCAGAACTAGTTTTTCTTCCTCCCAGAGGGGAGCAATACTTCATGTATTAGGCTTACATATAGGCTTCTGCCAGCTTACATCCTGGGAGTTGAAATATTAGCTGCCTTTTTGTACTTGATGTGGGGGATTTTGTACCATCTCAGCCTCCAAATTGCAAAGTAGGTCGAGTTGATTCAATTGTTGCTTAGAAGAAGTTGAAATGAAAGCAAACTGGGAAAAAATACAGACCTTGGCATAAGCCGCAACAGCAGTTATTCTCGAGTTAGTTGTCTTGCATGGACTCAAGTGCAAAATAATTCAGGTAAGTATTGTGTAAAGAATTCACAAGAAATGGGGTAGCTTTGTAGTTTTTTGAATATCAGTCTTTGGGAACATTTTAAAGAACAATTTTGGGAAGAGATTTTGGTAATTGAAACCAAGGAATAAGCATGTTTGTAATCTGTTTGTAATCTGAACAAGTCTTCAGGGTTTCTTTTTTTTTTTTTTCCTTTTTTTCCCTTCTGTTTTCTCTTTGTTTTCTGATTTTCTTTATTTCTTTTTTCCTTCTGTTTTTATTTTTTTCTTTTTCTTTTTGTGTTTTTTTTTTTTTTTCCCCTAAACTAGCCGTCTCATCTTCATACTATGCATTATCTGATAGACTAGTGAATGGGATCATGCTTTGGTGATACTGAATTGCAGTTGTCTGAGATAAAAAGCTTAGTACGCTGTACTCTTGGGTACTTGAGTTATTGCTTGTAACAGCTTAAGGATGACAGTACAGACTGAAATATTTAAAGCATTATATTGAATTTATAGCTTTTCACTTTTTATTGCATACAAGCTGATGAATGCATTTTGATTTCTGTGTTGGGTCAGGAGCATAGGCGAAGTAGCCTTATGGAGAACCATTATTCTTCAAACTGAACTGTGATGCATTTGTCCTAAAGTATTACATTGTTATCGTTTTCCAGAACTGTATGGGAGTTATGTTAAGTGATTAAAACAGGAACAGTAAGATAAATTGGAAATACTGAATTTTGTAGAATTTCTCTATTGAACTATTTGGCTTTACCCTTTCATATGTCTGTTTTAGAAGCTGAAATATTCTGATGTAGAAGCTGTACCATAATCTAGTTATAATTTTCTTAAATAAAGTATAAAAAAAAAATCAATTCTTGCAGTCATGTACTAGTTTGCAGTTTAGTTCTTAACTAACTACAGAAGAGATATTTAAGATTTTATATACTGCCATCTCATAATTTGCAGCGCATTGGCTCTGGTGCATTTCATCTTGCTCAGTTGTTGGTAGGTCGCAGCAGGACAGGAACTTGTGGAAAGTAGTTGAGACTTTTTTTTTCTTCTTGGTGGCTATATCGTTATATAACCCAAAAAATGCTCATCCTCTGCCTTGCCAGGTGTCTAGGTTCTATAATCCATAGCTTATAGAGTAGTTACAAATTTCTTGAGTTTGAGGTAGCAACTTTTTCTTCAAGTGGAAAACATCGTTAAAAACTGGAATTAATGATTGGACTATTTCTGCTAGTTTACCTTGCAACATTTTTCCCATGTAGATTTTTAAACCTGTGTGCTGTCAGAGCAGGGTCTTTTCTTGAGAATTTTTCCTGTGAGAGTTTGAGGTTCGATATCAGTGCCCTGACAGGAGCTAGTGAAAACTGTTCTGCTTTTCAGTAGCAATGACTGAACTCCATTTAAGAAGTTGTTGTTTTGGAGTTGCTTTTGCTCTTAATCTCTCCACTGACGTTAATAAACCTCTTCATTTTGCAGGGACCTGATAGCTTATGGTCAGATACACTTTTTTTTTTTTTCTTTACCCCCACCCTGTTTAGAGGAACTGTGTGAGGTGTTGCTGGCCTGTCTGAGCAGAGGACCTACCTGCCTGGCTGTTAAAATCCATGGCTACCTTAAAACTTGGAGTAATCTTGCAAATATCACCAAGAGCAAAGCCAGCCAGTTACATTTAGGTATGAGAGACGGTAAAGTCTGGGGAATAAGTATTGTGCAACTCCTGTTTCAAGGTGGGGAATATGTAATTGAGTTAACTCATTTTTTTTTTTTTTGCACCAACCTTCTGAACCATTTCATCACATGATAGGAATCACTGCCATTTTACTCTGACTTCTTCCTGCTTTTACTCTGTAGGGTATTGTTTCACAGCTTCAGGTCTGATATTAAGCTAGAACTTGTCTACCTGTCTTGAAACGAGGAAACTGTCTTTGTTCCCGTTCCAGCCTCCATTTCCTAAAGCTTGGTGTTTTCACAGGTTCCCCTGCCTTCCATTGAATATGGCAAGGTGTGTACATGAGACTTTCAAAAGTTTTCCTTTGATAACTCATCGGATAGCTCTTTGAAACAGAAGATGATTAATGTTAGTTGCTTAAAATGCCAGGGGAATTTTGGAAGGGAGTGTTTAACAACAGAAATACAGATCCTCAGAACTATATGATTTGCACACTTCACAAGGTAGCATGAGTGACTAATCCATCCCACTGTAAACTCTGTGGCTGAAATGATGTAAACAGCTTGCTTTCATACCCTAAAATCACCATCCTCTTATTCTGACTTTCCTGTAAATTTTACTACTGTAAACTCTTCCTAGGACTGTCTGCACATTTAGGGGCACAGTGGCTGAATGTAGATTTTTGTGCATAGCAATAGAAAGGAAGTTTTCATTCCTTTGTTATGTAGCTTCTATTTAGTAAGCCCTGGTATTAAGCAGATTTTGTGTTCTAACATGTGATATATAAGACTTGAAATAGCAAGAAGTATTTTTGTTACAGTTATTTATAGAAATATGAGTTATAATGATTAATATATTCAAACTCAATACCTTATTTCCATGAGTTGTTGGACTGAAATACCTTTGGAAAACAGAATCTCTAGATTCAAAATTAGTTTTGTAGCCTATGTTTAGTTAGCAGAAGCAGTGATTACCCCATCACCAAAGACTCTGTAAGAGCTAGCCAAAGAAGATTGTCACAGGGTTTTCTGTTGCTGTTTTGGTTAGTGCAACATGGGGCTCTACTGAGACCACCTGCTAATAGTATGATGCACAGGGAACTGAGGCTCTATAGAAACTAAATTGGGAGTAGAGAATAATTCAGACTATCTGTTATTCAGGGCTCCCAGCCCATGGCACTGTTCTTGGAGAAGAGCAAGGGTTGTGCCTAATGCTGGGTAGGTGAACTTGAAGACATGATTATTTCTCTGCCAGGATATGGAAGGAGGGTCTGATACCTCTGTATGATAATGAGTCCAGTTTACTCCCTGAGGCTTGCACATGTCTGGGAGTAGATTATTAGCATAGGGACAGCTTTGGTCACCAAAAAGACCAATTCTAGGTTGGTGGATTATCATTCAGCACAGAGTATTTGATACGAAAAGTGCTGATTGAGATGGTGTAGCTGGTAGACTGGTGTAGCTGAAACTTTGTCATCTGCCTTTTTGCAGATCTCTCCTTTTGTGCAAGCCAAACGTGGGGAGACAGACTGCACCCGGCAAATTGTGATCATCTACAACTGACTTACCACTAAAAACAGTGAACACATAATGTGCTGGGCTTTCCTTTCATCTAACTCTTTTTAGAGACTGCACTGTAGCATGGAAATTCCTTACAGGATGAAGGTTTGAGTGTAGCTACTGCTGTGTTGATATAGCAGTTTTCCCTGTGATGAAGATGAAGCTGCAGACACAGCTCCCTGTATTCGATGCCATCTTCCTGAGAAGCCTGTAGTTGTGTGTCACGTTGTCGATGTTGCATGGAAGGATTTGTGGCAGATAATCAATGTACCCGTTGCTATAGATCTGTGTCCCTACTTTACTACCACAAATGCAAAATGCTGAAATGTTTCTCAAAGTGGTTCAAGTACTTAGGAAAGCTAAATGTCCTTTCCTCTGGCAATAGTCAGTAGAGAGGTGTGCTTGGTATCCTTTTCAAATGACCTCCCAGCAAAGCTTTCCTATATCCTCTCTTTGCCTCTTCCAGCAACATAAACTACTATTAAAATTACTGTGTAAATAACATTTCTACATGGCAACTGGGGAGGAGATCAGCTCCTCTCAGGCCATTGTGATAGTAACTGAGCCTGCTCTCTGTTTGCAAGGGCTCTGTTCCTTCAGCTGGAGATGCTGATGAAACATGAGGACATTTGGCCCCGTTTGTGCAAGAGAAATGTCTACTTGAAGCATAGGAAAGAGGCTGCATGAGAAGGCCAGAGCATTGCCTCCAATGAAATATTCAGCTGTGAGCCCATCATGCCATTTAAAATGGCGCTAAATGGAGGACTGTGCTCTGCTAAAGCAACATCTGTGCTTTTAGGGGTATTACATCAGATCACCCCTGTAAGACTAATGTATGGCAAAACAAAACCCATCGCTATTTTGGAGGCTAAATATTGCCATGTTTTTCTCTTAGCTTTTTCAAAATTTAGCTTTTATTCTAAGCTTCTAGCTGAGCACTGTATGAATGCTATGAATCCTTCCTGGTGGTATACAGTGCAAACTTCACTGTGTTACAAGAAAACATTTGGGCACTTCTGTATTCAAGGTGAAGCTCACGCACAGCATGCTTTGCCTTCTAAACCTTCCCAGCAAATGCTCCTGAAGGTTTGGTTGTACATTAGACAGACTTAATAAAGATTTTTTTTTTATTTATTTATTTTTATATCACCGCCCCCCCGATGACTTTGATCACCCCATCTGCTTTTTCTTTCCTTCAGTGATTGGGAGGGAAAGAAAAGAACATCGACGGTCTGCAGCAGTGAATCTCTAAATGCTGTGGGGGCCACGCTCACACCTCGCCGCATCTCCTGGCGGCGGAGAATATTCCTGCAGGTAGCTTCACCTATGAATAAATCTCCTTCCAAGATGCAGAATCCAGGTCTGTGTGTGCTTTTAAAGAAAATAAACCAGCAGTTGTTTTTGAATAGTTATTACTATAGTGAACTGCAACATGTGAAAATATGAAAGGGAGAAGGGAGTCAGCTTGATACAATATTCTTGCTAGAAGCTCGCTAAAGATCAGTTGTGCTCAGTTGGCTTTAGGTCTTTGTTGCTTTGAACAGAGGATTCTGTCATAAAAATCAAATGAATTGCAATCTGCCATGGCTGCACTGGTAGCAAGGAAATGAAGAACTGTCTCTTGCTGACAAAGATACCATCTTTAACTGTTAGCAAATTTTTACATAGCCTGCTTACATAATAGCAGTGTTTGCAAAAATGATAAATTTTCTGCCTTGTCCTTGTACTGCACATAGCACCTGTTGAGTGTGTTAATAATTCTTACAGCCTTAGGTCATTTAGGGGAGAAACCTCTGAAATATGTGAAATCCTGCTATGTTGATAAAGTCCTGTTGGTGGAATTGACAACCATAGGTAAATGACAAACTCTATATTTACTGACCATGAAGTGCAATAGCACTGCCTATAGTGCAGCCTAGCAGTTGGAAAAAGTTCCTTTTAGCATAGAGCCTGTGGTTAATCATAGCAGTAAACAAGCCTAGCTGTAAAGGAGACTTTATGGATAAATGCCTCTTTGTAATTCTAGAAGGAGCTAGCAGGGGAAAAAGTTGAAATACTGGGTGACTCTTTATTTAGCTATATTTCATTTAAATATAACTTTATATCATTTAAATAAAACACTTTATTTAAAAATAATTCTCTGCTGTTGAACTGCGTTTTGTCTGTCTTTGGAATCAGCACCTCGCTGCTGAACACGGAAGACAGCTCTTTTTGTTCTGTTGTGACTTAGATTTTTGTGATACGTCACTCTTGAGTTTCCTGTAATAGCTTTCTGATTCTTTGCAGATGGTCATGATGGAAGTGAATTGTTACCATTATCCCCTCTTGCTCCACCCCTGGAGGAGGACCCTCTTGTTCTAGTATTGCAAAATGAGGATGGTCCAGATAAAACTGGAGAGAGGAAGAACTCAGAAGAACTACAAAGTCTGTGGAGAAAAGCCATCCATCAACAAATTCTGTTACTTCGAATGGAAAAAGAAAATCAGAAGCTGGAAGGTTAGCTATTTAGAAAATACCCCTTAAAACTATTACAAATTCTGCTGTCTGAAGCTGAAAACCGTACTGCTGTTGGGCACCTCAAACAGAGATGTGGTTCTGTAACTTTTTGTTTAACAGTGCTAGAAAAAAATACGTTTGCCCAGTCCTATCTCACAGTCCACCAGGTTCTCTGTCTACCTGCCAACTCTTAATGAGTCACCTTAGTTAAAGAAGAAAGTGATAACTTTTCCTTTTTTAGTGCATGATAGACAAAGGTTGCTACAGTCTGTATTCTAGCTCACTAAGTCTAGGAATTCTAATGTGAAGTGGAGTCAGGAGAACAGATGCCATGTGAACACTTAGGTATCGTAAACCTTACGCTATATATCTCGTTTCAGTCCTTTGCAGTGCATGGCATTTCTGTCTAGGCTTTCTGTCCTTCATAAACCACATCACAGTGGTAATTTTGTAAATACTTGAATCCAAATATGATTTTTGAGCAACTGGCTCTTCAGGTATGTCAGAAAGTTCTTTTTTCAGAGCTTGAGTGCTGTACACTGAAAATTCAGTGCCGTTACTGAGGGATCTGAAGTTGACCATGCTGACTTGTCAGCTGCCTGAGCTTCTGGCTAAGATACTTTATTATGACTGGTCAAGACTCTCACAAATAAAAGACAGGATGCAATGTCTATCCTAGCACATAGAAGTCCTTCAGTATAATAGACTAATAACTTTCGGTGCAAATTGAAAATTTCAAATGTCCTTTCTGCAATTGCTGCCCTCATCTTCGCCTGTATGGTGTATAACCTCATTATATGGTAGTCTGATTCTTCAGACAAAACATAATGATCTTGTTATGATCGGTTAACTCCTTTTCCTTCTTTAGTGGTGCTTACTGAGAAAGCAGGGATAGGAAAGAAAAACAGCAGGACAGAAGTCTTCCCATGTCCCTACAAGTATACATCCTTGAATGTATTTCCTACACATGTAGTGTATTTCTCTGTGCACTCTTTCTACAGTTTGTCTCCCATTTGACACACACTTCCGTGGAAACTCCTAAATTCATAGGGAACGTCTACAGAGAAGTCTGTTTTAACTTCAGCCAAAATCTTCATTTGTTGTTTTAGCAAACGGTTAGTCTACTGTTGTGGGGTGGGGAAGCTGGACATCTGCTGTAGTGACTAATTTCATGTTATTCCCTCTGGTAACATGAGCTGCTGAGGAACAAACTCTTTTCTATATCTGCCCTGCATAGCTAGAAGTGCTGTAAACTGTTAAATCAGTCCAGTTCCTTAAGACTCAGTTATAACTTATTTCCATGCTGTAACAGATTTTTTTTTTTAGAAAATAAGTTCTGCCTGCCTGATCATTTGTGGTGAAAACAGGAATGTCATCAGTGGAGACTCCAAACTGGCACTCATCTACCAGCCTACATCTTAGCTTGTGCTCCAAGTAGCATGTCTCCATTCTTGTATGCAGGTTCATAAGTACTGCTAGTGAAACTGGTGCTCTGGCTAGCTAGAATTCATCATCTTATTTTCAAAGGGTGAGAAGTAAACTGTCTTAACGCCTGTCTCTAGGGTTCTTTCCTGTGGGCTGCTGTAACATGGGTCATTTTGCGGACAGGACATATGCAGAACCGATACATTCCAAACAAGTGCTAGTTCGGGCAGTCGTTGACATCTTAGCTGACAATGAAATGTAGATCTCAGAGATGGGAAATGTAGTAACAGAAATGCAGTAATTTCTCTATTTGAAGCCAGATTCCTAGCTGTGAATTTATTCAGCTGTATATGACTGATTTAAGACTAGAATTGCTGTGGAATTGTTTTTAGTGGTTTTCTGTTTTGTTGATTTTTTTTTTTTTATTTTATTTTTTATTTACAACATATTAATAGAACCTCTTTTCCTATTCCTTTTGCTGTCGAGGAGACTTGAATACCATTAGCTCTTTGTTTTATAGAAGGTAAGTTCTGTGAATTGTACAAACTTGCTTATTTTTTTTTCTGAGAAGCTAAAAGCTACTCTTTCCAGTAGATCACCTAGAAATGTAAGAACTACATAAAGTAGTGGGTCACCTAGCAATGATTAGGAAGAACATTAACAAGGATGGTTGCAGGCAACCAAGGGTGGCATAGTAGGTAGGGCAAGTACGATCAACAAGCAAGCTTGCTGACTTTCACCATGGTTAACTGCAGAGCCAAAGTACCATTCAGTGAATGATAACCTGTGACACTTAATCGTTGTCACACTGACATGTGTTACTCTTGTCTTGAATCTGTTGCATATGCTTATGAGAGTGAGCAGTCTCGGATGAAATCGTATAGTATTTAAAATTGCCCCAATTGGACTGCAAATTCTTGTGGTGAGATCACATTCCCATTTTTATGGAAGCGTACTGCACCTTGCATAATAGGTGCTTCTACAAGGCACCCATAGTCTTGAATAGATATAGTCTTGGAGGTATAACATACAGCTTTTGGAAATAATTTGTCACCTACGTTTCTGGAGTGGGCCAGGCAATGATTCTATGGATTCATCCAATATTGGCTTTATCTAAAGTGAGATGATTAGGCAAAGAAATTGATTGTCTTTTTTTGCAGGTTCTGTGAAAGCGTGAGTGAGAGTTTGTTTTCACCTGAAGGTGAAGGATGGTGGGGAGGGGGGTACATCTGTAAGAGGAAGGAATTTCCTGGAAGGCACAAGTACTGCACGCAGATCAAGGCAAATTTGGGATAAACTCAATTTCAGCTTTCAGAGGTCATGTTGTGAAATGTACAATTCAGTCCAATGATAATTAAACCTATGTAAAAATTAAGACATGTTCAGGTCTTGATTCCATTTTTTACACCAGTAGTATGAGGAATTGGAGTGTTTTTCTGCATGCATATCATGTATAATAAAATAACCACAGTTAATTTCTTCAGTAATGGAAATGAAAGCTGCTCCTCTATGAAATTCCAATGCAGCTTTATTTCAGAAATAGAGAATCCTCTGGAATAAAGATTTTGTGCCAGCTAGTCCTATGTAGCAAACCTTTCGAGTTCTGTGCCTTCAGCACAGGTGTACCTTTCTGGATATGGTTCACGTTTGTTCATTCTGTTTACCTCTAGTCAGCCCGATGATGCCAGGTAGCAGTGTCATGAGCTCTTACCACTCTCGTAAGGGACTTGTAAAAACTGGAACTGGTGTGACAGCCTTCGGTTTGGAAGACTTGCTAGCTTGCTTGCCTGAATCTCTCATATAAACATTCATATGTTTGGGACTTTCCATACTAAAACAATTGTAATGTTCAATATCAACAGTAGAAAAATGATCAAAGGTGTTTTTGCAGTTGAAAGAAGCAGCAGATGTGGTGAAGTTGACTGTGTTGAATGGGTTTTTCTTCTTGCCCCAAGCCTTAAAAAATGTTTTCGTGTACTTCATGAATTACTAATGTTCATGGCCCAGTAACAGAAGTTAAATTGTTACCTGCGGCATCTTATGACAAAAAACTGGCCCCATCTCAACTATTAACTGATGAATTGTAGAGGGTGTATTTATTCCTAGCCAGATTATCAGACAGATATATCTAACTTGAATGGGTTTTGCGTATTTGATGCCTCCTGTAATTTTCTGATATTGTTTTTCCCTGTGCTCTTCTTTTCTGTTCTGTGCTCTAGCAAGCAGAGATGAGCTCCAATCAAGAAAAGTAAAACTGGACTATGATGAAGTTGGTACATGTCAGAAAGATGTCATAAATGTTTGGGATAAGAAGTTACTAAACTGCAGAGCCAAAATCCGATGTGACATGGAAGATATCCATTCCACTTTGAAAGAAGGTATTTGTGTAGGATGGCTTTTAACTATGAAGTCTGAAGATTATATTGTTCCTTTCTGATACTGAAGGAAGTCTGCCAGCAATACGCTTTTTTCAGTAGTACAAAATTATGAAAAATTGCCTTCTTTTTGCAAATGCGCCCACCTCCTGCTGCCAAAAAGAAAATACGTTCTGCTGTTGCAGCTTACAATGTCAGCAATGCAGAAACTTATATAGTCATACCTTTGAAGGTAACATCTTGTGCCCCTGTATTATTACAGTGAAGACTGAACTTGGAGCTTCTGCAGCTAACACTGTGACCTTCTGGTTTCTGGTCTGTGGCTCCTATCCAACTGATTCTGAGTTTCATATGCTCTGATTTTACTTACCGAGAAGGCAGGACCATAATGTCTAATGTGGACTGTGCCTAAAACCTAAGAGAATCACAACCAAGCTTCAGAGAGTCAGAACAATCACATCTGATAGAGTCTGGAATATGGTATTTTAGTATTTTGTTTCTTCAAGTGAAAACCTGGGGATTTTGACTTGGAAGTAGATCTTCCTGTGGCCTAACCATAGGCCAGAGGGCCTTGTTAGTATAATGCAGATGTGGAGTCTGGTTGGACCACTGTGTCCTCTTCCATAGCATCTCATGTCTGTGTTACAGGTGCTGAAAAACAATATTTCAGTGTAATCTGGCTGTGGTACAGAAAGAAAGTTTAAATTGCTACCAAAGGGAATTGTGGTAGAAATAAGGCGGTTCCTATTAGTGACCTGCAGAAGGCTGCAAAAAATGACTTGCCTTGATGCCCTATTTTCTGCTGCTGGACTGCAGTTCACAGCTGGGAACAAGGACTTGCCTTTTCTAACTTGTATTCTTGTTAAAAAATTATTTGCGTGGAAAGTATTAGCAGAGTTGACAATTTATTTTGACTTTCAAAGGTCAATTTACAGAGTCAGATATTGAAGGGGGATGTACGTCAAAGTCCGAAAGTTTTAATTTAGTTTATGCTTTCACAGGTGCTTGGCTGACTTGAGAGAAATGTGTCTTTCAATATGTGGTTCTGTGTCCTTCCTTTGGTGTGCAGCATTAATGCTTTTAGGTTTGAACTGACCGTTTTGCAATCTGTACATATTTCACCAAGCCTATGGACTGACATGAGCAGCCCTTTGGGAAGGGTATTTCACACCTGTGAATTTAGTTCAGCCTTTCTAAACAGGGTGGACTGCATTCTGTGTGTAGTTGTGCATCTTTTCCTGCTGGAGGCTAATGGCTCAGAAGTGGCAAAACAAGTGATGTCTGTACCTCAGTTGCCAAATGTACTGCTCAGTGTAATTACTGTAAGTTTGTAGTTAATGTTTAGTTAGTGGAAACAAACTGTGGCTACAGAGTGAATATACTGCAGAGCGGACAACTTCTGAAGCTGACTGTGAAGGATCCTCCAAAGTGGTTCGGCCAAGATTATGACAAAGCAAATTCTTGTGTTATAGCAGTAAAAATATGCCCCTGCTTAGGCCTTTTGGGTTTTTTTGACTGACCTGCAGGTGTACCAAAAAGTCGTCGGGGAGAAATTTGGCAATTTTTGGCTGTGCAACATCGAGTCAGACACAGACTGCCAAACAAGCAGCAGCCTCCCGACATCTCTTACAAAGAACTTCTGAAACAACTGACGGCTCAACAGCACGCCATCCTTGTAGATCTAGGTATGTCTGTCTGAAGCTAGATTTTTCTGACTTGTTTTGTGAGTCTTTTAGTGGAAGCTGTTGCTGAAGATAGATGCTGCTGTATCATCACCACTTCCTGTGTTGTCAGGATTCATATGCCACTTAGTGTCCGCCAAGCGGATGATTTCTTAGGTTATGCTGTTTGTATTTATGCTCTTCTACATCTGTCTGGAAAGAGAAAGCAGTCATTTCTACAAGTTCTGTGCAGACAAGAATATTAAATGAGCTCGATGGATACTGTCTAAAATCAGTGGTAAAATACAGATTATCTGTCTAAAGTCAGCCTGCATATGAAAGCAAAGAGAAACAGTCTATAGGAGGAGAGATGTGCTGGTTGTCAGATGGATCTGGGTTTTTTTGAGAAGAACTGAAGATCAACTACTCTTCTCTCTTTTCATCAGGACGGACATTCCCTATACTTTTCTGCCCACCTGGGAGCAGGACAACTATCACTCTTTAATCTCCTGAAAGCATACTCTTTGCTGGACAAAGAAGTGGGTTATTGTCAAGGTATAAGCTTTGTAGCTGGAGTGCTGCTTCTACATATGAGTGAAGAACAGGCCTTTGAAATGCTGAAATTCCTCATGTATGACCTTGGCTTCCGTAAACAGTACAGGCCAGACATGATGTCGCTACAGGTAAGTCAGTCCTACTTAAAGCAAACCAGAGTTTTAAATGAGTTCTGAGCTCTCGGAGGTTGCTCATGTTCTTCAGGGCCTTATGAAGTTTCTTATGCTGTTTTGGAGGTTATGAGGTGCATGTGAATGTTACTATTGAACCCCTCTCTGCTTCTCAATTTGCAAACAGAGAAGTTCAGAACTCGCAGACTTTTCCTGTCACACATCCCCATCATCTCCTGTTTGGAAACTCTGCTTTCTCGGCTGTTTGCTCTTCCTTTTCTTTTCCTCACTTCTCTCTCATCCTTATGCCGACAAACCACTATGTTTGCGTCTGTATAGATGGAGTTTAAAAATAAATTTAATTTTATTCAGTCCGTGAGCGCTTAGGTGTAGATTTTTCTCTTGTAACTCCAAGCCAAATCAGTAGTGACACCCAGTGGCCAGCCAGTGTACTCCACAGGCATTTGTACTTGGGGCTGTGCTGTCTTGCCTCATCATTTGCGCCTATTTTCTCTCATCATCCTCTACCTCGCAACCCTCAACACAGAGAGAAAACAGACAAATTTTTAAATGTTTAGTTTGCTTAAGAAAGATGCATGCTCTGCAATATTAGTCTTTTAACAGCTAGCTATAGATACGCAAGGCTGCTTAGGAAAGAAACAGAAAACCTTTCAGATGTGTATAAACTCCAGGGTTCAAAGTTCAAGAAATCTTTCACCTTGAGATGCAACTGTCCACTGACTTAAATAACTATATGCTATGGGCCTGTAATATTATAAAGGGGTATACCACTGCTGAGTTAGAGCTTGTAATCCACAGTGGAGAAAAAGTAAACTAAGAGGCAGGTACAAAAGTCTCTTTTTATCTTTCCTTTTTTTTTTTTTCTCCCCTCCCCATGCTCCTTGCATAGCAAACACTAATAATTAAGTAAAAACTTAAGGGGAAGTTTCAGTCTGCTTTTCATGACCAGTCACTTTAGGTGCTTATTTGGCAAATGTCCAGAAGAATAGAATAGATTGTAGTTAAAGAAATTGTATGTGCTTATTCTAAAAATGATAGAGGAGTGTTTTATTGTGTAAGTGTGCTATAACAAGTTTGCTGTGATGAATTAAGGGTGAACAGCCATAAAGACCATCGTTTTGCCTCTTCCCTGTCCCATTCCCCCACCCCCCTCACATATGTTTTGAACCAGTGGGCATCAAAGAGTGATAAATGCATGGTTGCGGGATTTTTTTTTTTCCCCCTAGAAGATGCTTTCTTAGTGTTTGTATGTCATACTGCAGTTGTAGACTTTCAGTAATGTCTGATGATTTGAGAGCATTCAGATGTCCAGGATTTCACCTTTTGATTTAAATGAGTCTGAAACTTTTAGTGTCAGAAGTTCCTAGGAAGAACACTTTTTAAGTTTGAGAAGGTTTACCACTTGTATTACTGTTTGTCCTTTGAATGAAATGACCTCTCATTCCCCACAGTTTGCTCCTAGGCAGTTACCCTGTTCTGGAAAAAAGTACAAGTTTTGTCTGCTCAAGCCAAACTAGACTATTGAAGATGATTTAGAAGATCTCACTAAAGCCTAACTCTTTGTTTTGGTTTTTAACAGGAGTAGAGCACTTGCAAACAGAAACACAAGTAAGCTTATATGCAGAATTAGCTTCTGTCCTGTAGAAGAAAAATGTTGGGTGTTTCTTTAGGATAGTGAGAACTTACTTGACTTATTTTTAATTGTTGTCTGGAAAATGTAGTAATCTAGATTCTTAGTTCATAATGAACTCATCCAATTGGTTTACTGCGTCTGTGATACTATTCTAGTTTCACATGTAAACGTGTTTTATATTAAAACTGTCCAGACTGTGCTTAATTAGTATCTTTGACAATTAAAGCAAAGACTGAAATACATGCACAAGTTTAGCTAATTTGCCTGAATGAGAAGTGATCTCTCTGCCTGTGGATGCGGCTGACCAATAGACAGTTTCAAGTGCAGTCAGTTTTTGGTAGGGAAGAATCATGACCAGTAAAAGTAGGAAAGTAGCTGGATCCAATAAGTCATTTTCTTATTGAGGATAGCATAAGGCACTGTTGACAGCAGAATTGGACCTGACAGCTGATCAATATATGTCTGCTTCTCATCTTCTGCTTTCTGAGAGAAGCATCACTCTGTGCTATGGGCGACTTACTGTGGTATATAGACTATCAAAATTGCAAGGAAATAATTTGCACAGAGTGATATTTTTAGCAATGAATAGCGACTTTTAACCACTTTGCTTTACAACCTTTTACAGGTTGTATAGCAGCATTTTTTTGCATCAGTATCTTAAATTTCTCTGGACCACTGACATGTGGGAGGTGTGCTGGGAAATAAGTATGTGGTACACCTCTGTTGACCCATCATATCTAACATACTCTGTGGATACAGAAGCTGTCTAAAGTGATGATTGTAGCATAGGAGTTTTAAATGCAGAAAAAGTATGGCCAAGGTTCAAAGGATGAAAGCTGAAATGTGTAAATTTAGCCAGAAATATTTCAACTCTGTAATGGACAGTTTTGGCATCTTGGAAGAGGTATTTCTGCTTTCATTGCTGTGAGACTAGAATTTCTGGTTTGTTGACAGAGTCAAATCAATATAGTCTCTTGTTACCTTAAGCCTGTGAATCTGAAATGGTACTTCATTAATAATCAGGTTCAAACTGTTCTTTGTTATTGACTACTGTGTTGGTTTTAATTCATTAGGGGTGGGTTGTTTATATGTGAGCAGATATCACTTGAGGCCCTAAGCAACAATTAAGCTTCATTTTGCAGTGCCATCTGTACTGGAGTTAATTTCCCTTGAGTGAAATATGAATGGCTTGGAAAACTGAGTAAAGCTGAACTTTTCTTTCTCTACTTCCTTCCCTCCCAACCCCCTCGTGCACTGTAGATTCAGATGTATCAGCTCTCAAGGCTTCTTCATGATTATCACAGAGACCTATATAATCATCTTGAAGAAAATGAAATCAGTCCCAGCCTTTATGCTGCACCGTGGTTTCTTACACTGTTCGCATCTCAGTTTCCATTAGGATTTGTAGCCAGAGTATTTGGTAAGAAAGTTTATTCTGTTGCAATAATAAACAGAACAATGTTGTCCATTGTGTTTTGAAACTCTCAGGGAGTAGTTTTCTACATACTGTGGACGTTTGGGGTGACTGTTGTGGGTGGCAAGTAGCAACGCTCTTCATAGTGGGATGTCAGCTCCTTTTCAGAGAGAAAAACTGAAATTCTTTGAAACATGAGACTTGAGCAATTAAGTATGTCTGCTGTTGTTAGTCAAGAGTCTTCTGAAGTGTGAACAGCAGGAAGTTTGTTGTTGCAAATGTATTTTATGCATCAAGCATTCAGTTTACATCTATAGAAAAGTTGTTCTTGTTGAACTTGCAAATTGAAAAAAGAGAATGCATTGGTTTTCAAGAAAGTGTTTCTGAATAACTAATTCTAAAATGCTTTCTAACAAAAATTCAAGTAAACTTGAACTTAAAGGCTGTTTCAGTATTCATGTATATATTGAAGTTTCCTAGTCTTAGTCTGCCTCTGGCTCCGTTTACATAGTTTTTTCATGATAGGCTCCTCTTCAGATAACATCTAGTACAGAAGCATAAGTATGGATTGTGCCTTGTAGTGTTTACAGTATCAGCATGTCAAGTACTTGGGTTTGTATTCTTTTATTATCCATACGAAGTGCCAGCTTAATCAGATTTCCAGTAATGCAGCTTTTTTTTTTTAGTTCATTTATTTATTAATGTAAAACTTGCTGTACTCAGATATGCACCAAGAAGCCAGGAGCATATGTCACGTACTTTCCCTTAAAGTAGACTTTTTACCCATTTGATTTTTCTGTTTTTATACAGCACCTTTTGTCTTTTCTTAAGAAATTTAACCTGACTTGTCTCATGTTTTATTACTGGAATGTGTTAGGTTTTTAACTTGTTTGGTGTGGTGGTTTGGAGGGGAAGAGAGGTTTTTTTGGTTGGTTTTGGTTTTCATGTTTTTTTTGACCTAGTGATTTCTCTATTACAGAGGTTTTTTTCCTTTTTCTGACTGCTCTTTGGGTAAACAAATGATTGGTGTATCTATTTCTCAGTGGTATTCACATGATTGGTACATCTCTTTCCCAGTGGGATTATTGAATTCTGGGACATTCAGGCGTTTCTTTTTTTTTTTTTTCCTTTTTGATTTGTTTTTTAAGGCTAAATTGTTCTTTTTTTTTGTTTTTTTTAATCTTCAGTAGGCTTTGAATTTGGAGAAGGAACTTTTTAAGGGTCGGGAGGGTCAGTGTTCATTTCTCTGTAAATAAGCCGAGCAAAGCATGTTCCCATTTTAAAACTCAAAAGTCACTATGTTGTTTTACTTCCTAATGCTTTGGATTCCTGCATCTTCATTGTCTTATGGGCCATTGTCACATACCGGGAACAGATGGTTAATGTCTACCCTTCACAAATTAAATTCTTACATTTATGCTACTTGCATGTGCATCATAGACTTGGGAAGGGAGACTTTTAGGAACTTTGTATGAGTGAGATGACTGCCTCACCAGTGTCCTGGTGCTACCCTGTGATACTGGATTGAGGCTAGGGATGACCTCTCAGTGTCTCAGAAGTTGAGTTTGTTCAGTTGCAAAGCCCTGCTCTTGGTGGTGTGACAGAGCCAACAGCACAGGAGGCTTATTTAAACTGCTCGTGGGCTGCGTTCATCTCAGTAAATGCAAATCCACCACTGGTTACTGAGACCGAGTTTCTAGTTACTGTGATCAAGTTTCCAGTTTCTGTGCAGTCCATGTCTACTCACTTCTGCAGAGCCTGGACTTTCCCCTCACATCCACCTAATTATACCTCAAAGGAAGGGTTTGGGGCTTAAATTATAGCCAATATGATCACTACTAGGGATTTTGAAAATAATATGATTGATTATGGAATCTACATGATTGCTTTTGAGGACTAGCTTCTGCCTGTAGAAAACAGTAAAATGTCAGTACGTTGTGCTGTGATCCGCTTCTCAATTACTTTTCAGTCATAGATGCGCTTAAAACAGTTAGCAGTTGGTTAACAGTCTATAGTCTACAGTAGACAGTAATGAAATGCTTATTGCAGGTAACTGTTAGAGACATAACAAGCATGCAGTGTTTTCTTTAATGCTGTCTCATCTCTAAGATGACAGAAAATGCTTTTATATGCTTTAACCTCAGGTTGAAATAAGACAGATTGCACTTCTGAAGTGAGTAAATCTTCAGTATGATTGATTACAGAGAAAAACATCCCAGCCCATATATATATATATAATGTGTATATATATATATATTTATCCATTGAGTTTAGCTCTTGTTTTCAAGATGTTTTAATGATTTTCTTTTTTAGACATTATTTTCCTTCAAGGAACAGAAGTCATATTTAAAGTAGCATTGAGCCTACTTAGCAGTCAAGAAACATCTATAATGGGATGTGAGAGTTTTGAGAACACTGTTGATTTTCTGAAAACCATTGTTCCAGATATGACTCAGCCTCAAATGGAAAAAATTATTACTCAGGTAAAGTTGTTTTTCTCTCTACTTTTTTCCCCCCTCTTTTAGTTTACTTTAAAAGAATCGTACCTAAGGTATATGTAAAAGTTTTCTCAGTATGTGCCTTTTGGTTTGAAATGCAAAGGAGTCATCTTCCCGGTAATTTGTATAGAACTAAGATGCAAGTTTTGAATAAAATGGGTTTTGTTTTGCAAATTTTAGCAAGTTGCTACCTCAAGCTCTAGTACAAAGGTTTTTTTGTGCCCCAGCTATTGGGAAAACATGACTTTGTTTATAAATTTCACGTCACCATCAGAAGGGTAAAAGTACCCTATTTTCCAAGCCTAAACCCAGCTGTTGCTCCCTGCTAGCGGGTGAGCAGTCCAGCAGTTTGTGACGGGAAGCACAACATGCCCTGATGGGAAGAGGCAGCGTCACAGCAACTTCTCCTCTGGATCCTTTGAACTGGCTGCACAGAGCCAGCTACCCCTGTAGGAACTTTTATGACACCTCCAACTTAAAATCCTACATGTTAGGAGGTTGGTGAGGCCCTGTTTTCATGATCTGTATTAAAATCAAGGTCAAGCAAACTTTTGCTCTTCTGTTGCGGGGGTGGCTTCTATCCTTCTGGAGATCACTTTTATGGTGCCCTCATGCAACTTCCCCTTCTCACCTTAACCCTGTCCTTGGAGGGATAACATTTGGCAGGTGCTTGGTGCCAGAGGTAGAAGCCCCTTGGGACTGATCCCTACCTTTCTTGGATAAGGGAAAGGAGGAGTGTTATTTCATCAGTATCATTGCAACTTCATGGCAAAGGGTGAAAATAGAAGAGAAATAAAGAATTACTGATGCTGATACAGGAAAAGCTTCTTGTGAAATACTGTCAGTGGCTGGAATCTTTGTCTGTCTACATCATCTTCCTCTGCATTGAAGCTGCAAATTGAAAATGAGCTTCAGTCTAGTACCTTAACTGTGAACTTGTGAACACTTTTCCCCTTTCAGGTGACAGTTCAGAGATAACAGGAGAGCACTAGAAAACCATCTCCATATGCAGAAGTGCAGTTAGCGCTGATGCATTCCTATGGCTTGGTTAATGTTTGAATGTTTCAGGTGCTAGCAGTTAAGAAATCATCTTTAGATAACATGTAAATCTTCATTTCCTCATTGCACTGATTGTGATTGCCATGCTAAGTCCGTGTCAGGCACTTTAGTGTCTGTCTTCACAACTCACTGATTCTGGCAATGATAGAGATGGTAATTCAACATTTTTGATACTATTAGAAATTAAATCTATGTCCTGTGGTCTTCACAGATTGCAGAGCAATCATGCTGTGGCGAGCATGGTAGAAGTAGCTTTGTGCAAAGCCATGTCTGATTGAGTAAAGAATGGGTTACGTTGCCTGAGCAGAGGTGGATGTGGTTATACGCAGGTCAACTCAGCTCTGAGGGCAAGGTCGCCTGCTTGCCTGTGGAATGGTCTCGTGCTGAGCAGCCTTCTGGATCTGCGTTCATGTGTGGGATGACTATATTGTGTTGCTCCTACCTAGGTGGAGTTGTTTGGCTGTCTCAGCATTGTAGTTCCCGGGATCTTCCTCTTACAGTGGATAATGAAAGAAAAATGTAGACATTATACAGGATTATAATACACAGATGAAGAATTGACTGGGTAGCTACATAGAGGAAAATGGCACTTGCCCAACTTGAACACCATATGTAATTTATAGTTTACCTCATTTGAATTACCTGGAGAACAGTGAACGTAATGCAGAACTTGTTTTGTTGGGGGATCTGTGTATGTCTTCTGTTGGTGTAATGTTTGTGATCTCTAGAACAAGGAACAGAACTAATGTCACTGTAGGCGTCCTTCCCTTCTTAGTCTAAACTATCAGAACTTTCAGCAGCTGAGAGGCTGCGGCTAAATGTATAAACAGATAAGGGTCATATGGTCCCATCACCATGAGATGGTCAGTACCATAATCTTCACAATGCTTTCTCACCGAAGCATCTCAATAAGAAAATAGCGTATCTCCACACAGAGACAAAGCATATGGAAACTGTAACCATGATCAGTGTTTTTATAAAAGTCTATAAATGGGCACTTGGAGTCAAGAGATCCAGTTTTGAGGGTGGAGAACTCACGACTCCTGGATTATTCTTCCTCATTGTGTAATCCTGCTCCTGTCACAAGCTGGTGAGACATGAATTTAAAAATTACCTTGTTGAACTTCTTAATATTCCTGAGCAAGAGATGATAAGACTTGGTCATATTATAAAATTCTTGGATTAAATAAGACTTTTTGGCTGATACATCTCATAGTAAAAGGTGGTATTTGGTAATTCTAAAAGCAATGATCTGATTTATTTTAAAGTCTATGATTTATTATGGCTACAATAAGAACTTTAGATACTAAAATGCTCTTAATGTAGACTTCCCCTTCTTGAGAGGAACAGGAAAATACATTAAGTTAATAAAGCAGAGTTGCCTCTTAGCCAAACATTAATGTGGAGTAAGTGCTTTCTATTGTAGTTAAAAATTGTTTTTTCTCTCATGGCAGGTGTTTGAGATGGATATTTCAAAACAGCTCCACGCCTACGAAGTAGAGTACCACGTTCTTCAGGATGAACTGCAGGAAAATGTGAATCCGTGTGACGAAGGTGAACCCCTGGAGAAGCTGGAGAGGGCAAACAGTCATCTGAAGAGACAAAACATGGATTTGTTGGAGAAGCTACAGGTAAATGACTTAAGACTGCGAACTCATGGAGAGGTCATTTCTGTGATTCAGACAATAGAGGAGAAAGTGTCTTTTTTTAAATATACATGAGAAGTCTCCTAACTGCAAGACCATATGCAGTTGAGCAGTTCTGTCAACAGTATTGTTATGTTTTCTTCAGCTGAAGCTCATAGTCCTACTTCTGAAAGGTGGTCTCTCCTAGCAGACTTGAATACAGCCAAGTTCCCACCAGACTTTGCCTGATAAAGTCATGCTTTAAAAACATCTCCTCTTCCTCCTGTGCTATTCACCCTTTCTCCAATAGCCTGGCCAAGACTTGTTTCAGGTTTCAATATGTATTGTCTTGCATTTTCCTGAATACACGGTCTTCTTTTTGCATCACCAGGCCATTTCTTGTTATATTTGTTAATTTAAACAAGCATTGGGAAGAGCTCAGAGAGCACCTTCAGCTTCTGAAACCTGAAAATAGAAACAGGGGAAAAAAGGAAAGATCAAGTCCTCATTATTTTTGTGTTTATGGGCTAAGGGTGCTATGCTGTGTTCTTTTGATATTGAAAACAGGGTTCACTTGCTTTTTTTGCTGTTACTATTTTTTATTTATTTATTTACTGCTACCCGGGCTTTTACTGCTGCTCTGAAAATGCACCAAGGGCATAGAATAATTATGAGTGACTGATTTGAAAGGCTCTATCAAAGCTCTTCTATTCTTCCAGAATGCCATACTGTATTGCATCTTCCTCAGTTCCTTAACATCTTCATCTGTTTGCATAGCTTCTTCATTCCTCAGCTTGGGCTCTTTCCTAGGAATGGTCAGAATTCCCCCACTTCCCACAGAGAGACATTTGCTACTGCTGAGGTCCAGGATTTCTGATTTCTAGTCAGTAGGGTTTTTTCCCCCAGAGGATGCTGTAGGTCTTTTATTGGAGAATAGGGAACACTGTCTACTTCTAGACTTAAGGTTGAGGTTCTCTTTCCCACTCCATTCTGCTGATTTATTTTACTACATAGGGTTCCCACTACTCCATCACTGTCAGACCAGTTGTCTCTTCCAGTGCTACTCCAGCTGCTGATTTCCTTTTTGCTTGCTGCAGCTCCAGTTCCTTGTTACTCTCAACTGTCCCTTCCTTGCCGCAACTTGCATGTCTCCTTCCCTCTGTGAAGCTTTCAGAAATCCTTCAGATTGATCTGGTCACTATAAGGAGATTCTGTGTATGATGCACAGGAGGCATTACTTGTATCATCTGCCTATGCAGATGTCTTTTAGAAACATCTATGTAATTAAGTTCTTAACATATAGCATATCATAATATAAAAAAAGTTATTCAGAATGTCTCAATTTATTATAATGTTACTGTTTGCAGGTTGCTCATGCTAAAATTCAGAGCCTGGAATCCAACCTGGAGACTATTTTGACTCGAGAGAACAAAATGAAGACTGTAATTCAGTCCCTGGAACAGGAGAAGATAACATATCAAAAGACTCTTGAGCAGATAATGAAGTATTTGCCAGCAGAAGCGTTGTCTGACTGTGAACTGCTCCTGAAGGAAGTAAACTACAATCCAAATAATAAAATAAAATAAGGAGTAAGCCATAAAACAGGGTTTTATAGGCAGCATTTCTTCAAAAAAAGAAAAAAAGGGAAAGAGAAGATGAGCATGCTGCTTTCAAAGGACTTAGCAATAGACAACGGTATTATCCAAAACTAGTGCTGGGACACTCATAGCTACTGATGGGCCTTCAAATGTCAGTATGCAAATTCAGGCTATTAATTTTTTATGGTTATGTAAATAAATCACAAGGGGGAAATAAAGGATTCTCACATGTAATTATGATGAGTAGATGTATATTTAGAGTTGACCTAAAGGAAAAGTGAAATTTCGGTAGTCAAAGCCAAGATAATGGTGATCTACAAATTCACTCTGGATGTGCTTGTCTTGTGGTGAAATGAGGATAGTGTGTCTTTATAAATATGTGTTGAATAATACTTGAAGAAAAAAAAAAAAAAGAATGTAATTTTTCCCTCCAAAGAGCAGCATGTTTCACATCTTTTGTGGAAAACCTGTGTGAGCTCATGTGTGCCTCTCTTTTAATTCTACTGACATTGTGTACACAGACCAATAAGGAGAACAAGTATCATGACTTGGTTTGTACAGAAAGAGCTCTGGTGCCATCCGCTGCCTGGGCTGTACTGGTCACTGATGTAATTCCACATGCATGTTGGAACTGGAAACAAAAAGCATCATGTCATATCTCCGCCTCCGTAACTCAGAGCTAATATGTATCTATACACACTTGCAGAACTTGTAAAGGCAAGAGCTAACAGTGACTGCTACTTCTTTCCCAGCCTGTTTGCTTCCACCTGTCCTGGAGTTGGTCATGATGACAGGAGGAGGGAAGCAAGGCTGTGGGATGGTATTTATTCTGATGTTAATTTTCTGTGGGAGACTTGCTGTCATAAGAGTTAGGCATGTAAGGGGTTCTCATTTAACCAAAGAAATACTGCAAGAAGCCTTGTCTTATCCTGGTGGGAGCCAGAAAGCTGTTCTTAAATGTTATTTGAAGAGAAAATTGAGGCAGGTTGCAGGAAGTTGAGCATAAGTGCGTGAAAGAGGACCAAGCAAGTTTCAAATACTATGTACCTTTCAGTTTTCACATACACAGTGGATATACATTTCAAAAGGGATCCTGAAGTACAGGTGCAGTTTTAATAATGCTTTCCAGGTTATTCCTGTTTTAATACTGCTTTGTGGTCTTCTTTTTAAAACAAAAGTCATGAATTTCTGTGTTCTGGGCAGAAGATGAGGTAAACTCTGATAATTTTGAGGGAGAAAATATGTTTATAAAGGTATAAAAAGATGCATATAGATTTGAAAATGTTTTTGAGTGGAATTTTTGAGAAGGCTTAGACAAATGTGTAATAGACACGTATTTTGGAATGCATGTCTGAACCGTTAATTGAGTATTACAGTGGCTCATGTTATCTCTTACCATTTATACTGTATTTCAGGAAACACTTATTCTTTTTAGTAAGAAAAACAATTAAGCAAAGTGCCAAATCCAGCAGTGTCTTTATGTATAAGATTATTCACTTTAGAAAGCAAGGATTGAATATCACTGCTTTCTAAGTATTATGCTTTATGTTAATGTAAAAGTGAGGAACAACAATGCTGATTTGCTGCACGCTGCTGTGGAACGTAGGGGCTTGGGGTCTCCTGGGGTTTTTTTGTTTTTTTTTAACTTCCATGATGTTTTATTTGATTAAAGATACTGATTTACTTAACAGTCTTTCTTTTTACAGTTGAGGTGAAAGGTCTTAACACTGTGTATAAAAATTATGTGGAATCTGTCTAGAAATTTCAGGAATATTGTATTGTAGTAGATGGGAAAATGCCAAGTGAAAAGGCAGTCTTTGCAATTTTGTTCAGAGTAAATTTTAGCTGATGTATACATACAAAACCAATCCCAGGAACTGCAGTAGCGTATATTACAAAGAATCAAGGTTATTCAGATACTTTTTTTTTTTTTTAAATGCACTGAAATGTGCTTTATCCTCTGTTTCATTTATAAAATTTTTCATGTAATGCCTGGAGAAATTCCAATAAATGTCATTGCTGCATTTCCCATTGGCCTCTGGCTAGTTTTATTTTTCTACGCTTAAGGTACCAATCTTACTCTGTTTACATGAGAGATGAAAAGGATCTGGATTTAGTTTCTAGTTGCGGAGAAAAAAAAACTACAGGATTTGTAGAAGGATGCGGAAAGGATAGAAATTCTTATCAGAAAAAATAGTCTTGCATTGTTCTTAACTGAGGATGAAATGATTAAAAGGTATTTTTCTTCTATAGCAGTTCATTTAGTATGCGTACATGTTGAGAACAGTAATTTGATGAACTCTACACTGTGCATCTAGCTTGGGAGGAGAAGGAGGACACCACAGCAACAAGTAGGAATAAACTACAAAAGTAAAACCACAATGAGGTAAGTGCCTGATGACATTAGGACATTTGTGATTAGCATTTGTATTCTGAACACACGTGCCTTGTAACTGGGTATCTCTAGGGTGTCTAGCTTGAAGTCTGCACTCAAGCAGGTGTCCTCCAGACCATCCTCAGATGAATAACAAGCATTATCTAGAAGACTGAATGATGTGTGTTTGTGTCCATCTGTTTGTCTCTCCCTGCCTATCGTATAGATAGCTTTACAGCTATTCTGTTCTCATTGCAATTTGTGCAACTGTGAAGAGGGAAGTCTTAAGGTGCAGTGGGCCAGACACAGAGCTGCAAGGATATTTGCTTGGGAGAAGGGACAGTTCCTGGGTTTGGATAAATTGCTCTTTCATTCCTATATTTTGGTTTTCTGTTTGGAAAAAAAGTTTTCAGAATAAAGCTATTGTTCTGTCTGAGCTAGGCACAACAGCACTCTTAGTTTTTGCAGTCAACTTGCGGAGAACTAACTGGGGAGGAAAAAGTATCTGCTGTTTTCAGGAACAGCTAACTTAGACTGGTTTTTGCTGGCAGAGGGCTTTTTTACAAGTCTGGGAAGACATCCATCCTTTTAGCTAGGAAATTAGCCCATAAATGAAGAGTACTACTTGCCAGGAATACAGTTGAAATAGGTCAGTCTGGTAAGGAAGGCTAACATAGGGAACTCTCTAGTATTCACATCTTTTATGGATGGAAAACGTGGCCAGAAAGTGTGAGTTTGTTTGGTTTTGGGTTTTTTTCCCTCTCCTAAAAAGGAGAGTGTTTATTTCTCTCCTAAAAAGAAGAATATTTAAAGTGCCTTTAAGTTGCATTTTGTTCACTTTTTCTCTAAAAAAGCATTAGATTTTACTGAAGAAAATTAGTCTCCTGATAAATGGCATATTCCAGTTTAAGACCTGACTTGAAATCATAAATCTAGCTAATCTTAAGTGGTTTGATTATGCCCTGTTTAACATGACACTTCTTTGTTTATTATTACTACAAGAAAGCTGAACGATTCGTAACATAAGAAAGAATTTCAGCAGTTTAGTCCAATAATTTGATATTACTGGTATGATCCCAAGGATCTACATTTGGACACGTAATCTAAACCTAAAGCTACATAGGTATTAGTGTGAATAGCCTTTTGTGTGTTGAGGTGAATAACCCCAGGCACTGTTAATAGTGATTATCTGCTCAGTCTTTGTAGTCATAGATGGGTGTTGACAGGCATGTGCAGGCCATAACGTGTCAAGCTTTATGCCAGGCTACACCATCCATCTGAAGAATTGTAATTGATTCTGTGTTTCTGTAGTTTGACTTTTACTGTCAGTGTTAGCATATTGAATGCATTTAACGTATGCTTTGCCTTCCTCAGCCTTTCTAGTGACTAGAAAGAACAAAATTTAACTTTCTTTTCCAAAAAGGCGTGTTGAATGCTCAGCTATAACCTTCCTCCAGACATCTGGTGTGCAAGGGATAGAGTTTATATGCTTAAAGTTTAATATGTTAGCTCACTCTCTCTGAAAGCGTAATAACCTCGGCAGTGACAGTAAAAAACTGGGGAGTAAAGCAGGGATTACTGTGTGCCTTGAGCAGCTAATGGGTTGTGTGCTGACTGGTTTGCAATGAAGTGGAATCTGGATCGGTTGGTACTTGGTGTGTTGTTTGGTTTTATTTCAATGTTGACCTTAATTCTGGACCAAAGGAAGGAGCTGACGGTGCTCTTGTACCAAAATGTTGTGTTGGAGTTGCCTTTGAGTTGAGAAGGTTTTTCACTCCTTTACTATTCTCTTCAGAACTCTGGCTCAGCAATCACTTTTTAACAAGGGAACAGGGAATTGTCGTTCATAGTCTTACCGTCAGAAAAACTTCTCTTGGAGCTTATCCAAACTGTTCCTGTACTCAAATTGCAACTTATTCAAGACTTCATTCTGATAAAAGAAAATTAGAATGTTTTAATATGTTGGTTTTATTTTTGGTTGGAGTGCATGCTGAGAGATGACATAAATGCCATACATCATGACCTACTGGAATGCACATGGGGAGAAGTATTGAGTGAGCTTGTGCTTGTAAAACACTGGACTAAGAGAGGTCACTTAGTGTGGGAAATACGTCTAGATCTGACTTCAAAACAGAGACCTAGTTGCACTGGCTGTGTGTACTCTATGCTGTTATCTGTCTGAATGATTACTTCAATCATCCATGCATGCTTAGTATTTGGAGTTGCAGATATTTAGATGTATATGGCCATTTTTGTCTAAAAAGTATAAACTCATCCCAGGTGGAGAATCCTGCACTTGTTCTTGTTAAATTTCATACGGTTGGTGATTGCCCAGCTCTCTAGTCCATCCAGATCTCTCTGTAAGGGCTCTCTACCCTCGAGGGAGTCCACAGCCCCTCCTAGTTCTGGGGAACAGAGATACTCAGGGGCACAGTGGGAAGAGTAGATCCAGGCTAGCTGGAGCCTGGCAGCAGCTGCAATAACACCATGCAAAGCCTGAACTTGCTAAACATCCAGGAAAGCAGTCTGTGCATGGCTCTGGGAGGGCTGGACATCGCTTCTGTGCTGCATCTCGGGGCTCCTTCCTTCAGAGTCAAGTCCAGTCCTGTGGACTGAGCACCCATTTGTCCTGCACAGTTTGTGCTCCTGAAAGATGTCTTCCAGTTTAGTTTTGTGTGCTGAGACAGGGCTATGACGCAAACCAAATCAGAGTAAGTGGGGATGAGT